CGCACATTGTTCCTTCGACTTTCCCCCAAAGTTTCCCCTCCTGGCTTGTGCAAATATAAGGTTTGCAAACATCTGACAATAAATTATATAAGCTCCAGCTTGCTAATCAATATATACTGTCTAGATCCTCCTAGTGTCTAACCAACACTATGGAATATATAATAGCAGTAAAGCTAATAAACACCAGGGTAGTATATTATTGCTTCCCCCCTAAAAAAATGGGCCGGGGGGTCAAATTTTTTTAAAAAAGAATTTTGTTTTTAATAAGTTTAAATGGAACTGTCGCCGTAATTTCAAGTAAACCCCATTAAAATCTCCAACCCGTCCTATAACCCTGTCTATCAATCCGTCCTGTAACCCTGTCTATCAATCTGTCCTATAACCCTGTCTATCAACCTGTCCTATAGCCCTGTCTATCAACCTGTCCTTTAACCCTGTCTATCAACCTGTCCTATAGCCCTGTCTATCAACCTGTCCTTTAACCCTGTCTATCAACCTATCCTATCCCTGTCTAGCAACCTGTCCTATAACCCGTCCTATAACCCTGTCTATAAACCTGTACTATAACCCTGTCTATCAAACCGTCCTATAACCCTGTCTATCAACCTGTCCTATAACCCTGTCTATCAATCTATCCTATCCCTGTCTAGTAACCTGTCCTATAACCCGTCCTATAACCCTGTCTATAAACCTGTCCTATATCTGTCTATCAACCTGTCCTATATACCTGTCTATCAAGCTGTCCTATATCCCTGTCTATAAACCTGTCCTGTAACCCTGTAACCCTGTCTAGCAGCCTATCCTATCCCTGTCTATCAAGCTGTCCTATAACCCTGTCTATCAAGCTGTCCTATAACCATGTCTATCCACCTATTCTATCCCTGTCTATCAACCTGTCTTATAACCCTATAACCCTGTCTATAAACCTGTCCTATATCTGTCTATCAACCTGTCTGTCTATAAACCTGTCCTATATCTGTCTATCAACCGCTGTCCTATATCCCTGTCTATCAACCTGTCCTATAACCCTGTCTATCAACCTGTCCTATAACCCATTACTCTGTGATTACTGGGTTTACTAAAGAATAAAGTTTTCCTCAAAAGAAATGTAAAAAGAAAGATAATCGGATTTCTTAATTAGAGTTTTATAACGAGAATTCTTTTAAATGAGGTTGTGGGGGGGGGGTAGAGGGATTATGTTCATGTTGTAAGAATCATGTCGGAAAGGTGTTGATTAACTGAACAATGAATTCTGCTATAACGAATAATCTAAGTTTGAAATATTAAAGATTTATACCATCAGGATGCAAAGATATAGGAACTAGAAAAACGGAGTTTGCGGCAAAGACTCAATTCCTTTTGGAGACGATATTTTCATTGTTGGGGTAAAAAAGTGAGAAAAAAACACCCGAAATGGTAAATATTGATTTAAAAGTAGATGGTTTATGTTCTAATTTATTCATCAGCCCCCTCCCCCCCCCCACTTCCCTCTCTTATCTTTAAGTTTTAAATATAAATGTTATTAACAAATATCAGAATAATGTACACAGAGTGAAATATAGGAAAATTGTAGAATTCTTATCAATAATTATTTTTCCATTGGTTTCCGTTATCTAAATTTAAACCAGAATATTTACTTCACGCTAGATTAGCTTGGGCTGTTTAGCCAACCCCTGTTAGACCCCATAGTGAGCTAACCAACCCCTGTTATAAACCTTAGTAATTGCTATCCAACCCCTGTTAGACTTCTTAGTGAGCTAACCAACCCCTGTTATACTTCTTAGTGAGCTAACCAACCCCTGTTAGACTCCTTAGTGAGCTAACCAACCCATGTCAGAAACCTTAGTCAACGAACCAACACCTGTTAAGACTCCTTTGTTAGCGAACCAACCCCTGATAGACACCTTAGTGGGCTAACCAACCCCTGTTAGGCTCCTTAGTGAGCTAACCAACCCCTGATAGGCTCCTTAGTGAGCTAACCAACACCCAATTAGATACCTTAGTATTCTAACCAACCCTTGTTATACTTCTTAGTGAGCTAACCAATCCCTGTTATACTTCTTAGTGAGCTAACCAACCCCAATTAGATACCTTAGTAATCTAACCAACCGTTGATATACTTCTTAGTGAGCTAACCAACCCCTGTTAGGCTCTTCAGTGAGCTAACCAACTACTGTTCAGACTCCTTAAGGAGCTAACCAACCCCTGTTAGACTCCTTAGAGAGCTGACCAACCCCTGTTAGGCTCCGTAGTAAGATAACCAACCCCTGTTAGACTCCTTGGTTAGCGAACCAACCCCTGTTATACTCCTTTGTGAGCTAACCAACCCCTGTTAGACTCCTTAGTGAGCTAAACAACCCCTGTTAGACTCCTTAGTGAGCTAACCAAACCCTATTAGACTCCTTAGTGAGCTAACCAACCCCTGTTAGGCTCCTTAGTGAGCTAACCAACCCCTGTTAGGCTCCTTAGTGAGCTAACCAACCCCTGTTAGGCTCCTTAGTGGATCGAGCTAACCAACCCCTGTTAGGCTCCTTAGTGGATCGAACCAACTACTGTTCAATTGAAGATGGTAAATTTAATTCATATTTCAAAGAGATCTAAAGTCATGTCAAAAATTTCAAATGTTCTGCTTTTATAATACAAGATACTGTTTCAAATTTAAAAGGGTAAGGGTAGAAGAAGGTAGAATATGGTGAAGTGTAAGGGTAGAAGAAGGTAGAATATGGTGAAGGGTAAGGGTAGAAGAAGGTAGAATATGGTGAAGTGTAAGGGTAGAAGAAGGTAGAATATGGTGAAGGGTAAGGGTAAGTAGGTAGAATATGGTGAAGGGTAGAAGAATAGGACGTATATTGTGGTTTAAATGATTCTCAACGGTGTCCCTGGATAACAATGGAATACTTTTTGTTGACCTAACTTAAGTAAGGATTGAGGAGTATAAGAAAGCGGGGGATACCCCCTCCACCCTCTTCTAATTTTTCTTTTCATGATTTAAATTAAGTTACGTGTTATGTATACTATTATTTATTTAAACCAAATAGGGGAACTATATATATGATTTATCAGATGCGTAGAAAATATTCAGAAATTTGATATTCCAACCAATATTCGGTGTTATTCAAGCGTTTAACCCGATATTTTAACAAAAAATGTGAATGAATTGTAAGTTAGATAAATATTTTCGCAGAATTATTAATTACCAGCTCAAGGGCCCGGCGTTGCCCGTGGAAAAAATTTCGATTACAGCCTAAAACAACCTTCGGCCACCCCTAAGTGTCCACAAAAAGTTTCAGCCCATTCGGTTGAGCCGTTTTGCCGGCTATAGGCAACATTTATGTATACGAATGTCTTGTTTTATTATATAGATGGCATGCAGTATTGTAATCATAAATGGGTTTGACAGAACGGGGGGATTGCAATAAAAAGTGGTTTTTAATTTTCAAGACTCCATTGATTTTACCTTTCTAACTTACTTATACTTGTTTATTACTAGATACATTTTAGAACATAAAGCACTTGTTTTTAGCTTTAACAAGTAATTGGCATAATTCTCATAGATTTTTGCAACCATGCAACATATGTGAGTCCCAGCCAATTCATGTTTTTTTGTTTTTTTTTTTGTCTACAGAATTGGGACGCAAATACGCATTCTGCATTATCACAATACGTCCTATACCTCCCCTTTTTTTTGGAGGAAGGACGCAAAAACAATTGAAATCTCAAATTCATCCTAATTTTTTTTTTAAGGGAAAATAAAATTCCATCGAAATTTTTTAAGATTTCTATTTTTGGTTCAGAACAACCTTGTTGACGGATAACAGCAACACGCTAGACAAATCAGGTTAATAGGCCGGTTAGGATTCTGGTGGGGGATGTTTATTATCCCCAGACAATTCTTTCCCATTGCGGGCTGAAAATTTGGTTTGGCTGTCTCCGACAGGAGATTCGAGTTGAAGACGACATTTTATAGAGGTTTTAAAATTAATGGTTAACAAACCTATATTTCTTTTGATTTTTGAAATTGTCCCTGTTCAGCAACTTTTGATATATAAAGCTTAATCCGTGGAAAAAAACCCTATATTTTTGCACTCTCACATTGCCCGAGAGTAGATTTTTTGTATGACTTCTGATGTTTCCAGCATTTTTACATTAATCCAAAGGAATTAATTTAATCCAGTTGACCACAAAGGATTTGGATTAGTGAAGAGATTAATAATGCACTGTTCCAAACTCTAGTGATTTCTAAGAAGTACAGATTTTTGTGAACTTTCGTAGATTTCGTGTCCATGTTGTCTAATTGGAAGAAAACTTTATTAAATTTTAAACATTGATTTTCATCCTTTCTTTAGTAGAGCTTTAGCAGTCACGGATTAAAACTGTAATTTTAGTTGAGAAGTATATAGAAATTTACAATTTTAACATTTATGGATTCATAAAATATTTAGATATTTATAGATATTTACGTCTTATACATATATATAGTTTCAACTAAAATTACAGTCTTGTCCGTGACTGCTAAAGCTCTACTAGAGAAAGGATGAAAATCAATGTTTAAAATTTAATTAAGTTTTTCTTCCAATTAGAGTTTGTGGCAAAACGGAGTTCCTTATTTTATATATTTTATATATGTAATAAATCCATTTTATATATTTTATATATGTAATAAATCCATTTTATATATTTTTATTAATCTATTTCGTATATTTTATTAATCTATTTCATATATTTTAAAATTCTATTATATAAATCTATTTTATACATTCAATATATATATTATAAATATTGGAGAAACTTGAAATTTGTGGATTTTCAGGCTGACTTGATGAATCCGCATCCTATGGAACAATTCAATCTTATGTTTATTTATATCTGCCATTTAAACAATATATTTGTAGGCTTATTATTTAGTTCTTAATGTAAACAAGATTAGGCTTATTATTTAGTTCTTAATGTGAACAAGATTAGGCTTATTATTTAGTTCTTAACGTAAACAAGATTAGGCTTATTATTTAGTTCTTAATGTAAACAAGATTAGGCTTATTATTTAGTTCTTAATGTGAACAAGATTAGCATGTTGAATTCACAATAATGCTTTCTAAACCTCTATCTCAGTAACAATTAGTAACTTATTAAAGTTATTTTTCAAACTTAAAATGTGCTGAATTCTGATAATTTAATAAGCAAATACACAAGCCACTTTTTAAAGAGAGTTCGCAATTGAATATGATTAATTTTCAGCCAGACAAACTATGTTTCAAGATTTAAGCCGGTGCTCAATTGAAGTTTTAGGAAGGTCTACAGAATAAAGTAGCAAAGATTAAGGTATCAAAGGGCTACAGAATAAAGTAGCAAAGTTTTAGGTATCAAAGGGCTACAGAATAAAGTAGCAAAGTTTTAGGTATCAAAGGTCTACAAAATAAAGTAGCAAAGATTTAGGTATCAAAGGTCTACAGAATAAAGTAGCAAACATTTAGGTATCAAAGGTCTACAGAATAAAGTAGCAAAGATTTAGGTATCAAAGGTCTACAGAATAAAGTCGCAATTTAAGGTATCAAAGGTCTACAGAATAAAGTCGCAATTTAAGGTATCAAAGGTCTACAGAATAAAGTAGCAAAGATTTAGGTATCAAGGTCTACAAAATAAAGTAGCAAGGATTTAGGTATCAAAGGTATACAGAATAAAGTACCAAAGATCTAGGTATCAAGGTCTACAGAATAAAGTAGCAAAGATTTAGGTATCAAAGGACTACAGAATAAAGGAGCAAAGATTAGAAAAACGGAGTTTACTTGAGGAGAGTACATTTTCTTTTAACATAATATATTTTTTTTTTGTGTTTTTATTTAATTGTTGTTTTTACATTGACGTTAAAAAAATAAGATTAATTTTATTTAGCGTAATATACAAATGTATATTGTATATGATAAGATATATATTGTAGATATAGATTTTATCTAAAGAAATCAATATTACGCATTTCGGTAATTCTAAACAAAGAGATCTTCCAAGCGTTCAAGGCAATAGGTTTCTTTTTATTCTTTCTTTCATTTCTATTTTTTTTCTAGATTAGGAGCATAGTGGTAATGCATATCAATTATGGACGTAAGTGGTTGGTTTGAAAAAAAACCGCTATGGACACTGGTATGCGGTAAGATATTTTTTTTTGTGAAAAAAGGAAATTTTTAAACAAATAAAAATAATGTTTCTTTGCAAAAGAAACAGTTTCAATTTGTGTGTACAAAAATAAAAAATCCCAGAATCCTGTCTATGTCGTAGAAACCACAATTAGCCTTTAAGACAAAAACTTTCAAAATCATACATAATTTAGGCACATTTTTATAAATATTTATGGGAAATTGGAAATTCAATATAATATATGTATTCTGTTGTATAAAAATCTATTTGTAATATGACTGCTTCAGTCTGGATTCAATCTAGAGCTCAGCCAGCAAAACCAAATTTGAAATTACATTTGTAATTACCAAATATAATTTAATCTAATATTTGTTTCAACATTTACATTTCAAAAAATTCCCCCCCCCCCTCTAAAAGAATATTTAGGGCAGGGGGAATTTAACAAAAAGGAAATGATTACTCACTTCAAACCTTAATTTTCTAATCCTTATATCGTTGCAACCTATGAATTTCAAACCATGAATTCTGTAAGATCAGATAATCAAATTTTTATTTCCCCACATATTCAGGAAAGACATCAATAAAAATAAAAATAGTATATTCTAACAAAAATAATATCCCTGTGTTTCTTTTTTATAATATTCGTGTTGTAGAAAGGTTAATATTTGTTAGTGAAGGCTTAAGCTGAATACTTCCTGATTTATTAAGAATTCTTTTCCTTTTATACTTTGTTAGAACCAAATACTTTTTTTTTGAAATATTGTATCTTATGACATAGAAATATAATCTTTTAAAAATATCGCGCAAAAATATACCAGAACTTTGTACTTAAAACTTAAGCCATGTAAATATAAAAGTACTGAAGATGTACACGGGGCTACAAAAAAAGTATAAGAGAGTTAATATAGTTAAACCAAAGAGCATAACGTCGCAACACTTGAAGATTGAAGATTGAAAATTTATCCATCTAAANGAATATGTATTACGGTTTGTTTGGATATAGGTAACAATATACATAGACATAAAATTTTGGCGCACTGCTTTCAAAATTAAAAATATCCTTTTCTGCATAAAAATTCTGTTTCTCAAAGGCCTAATTAAATTGTTTGAGTTTCAATATTTTTTGAAAATCCACCAATAAAAAAAATCCACGAAAGGAATTGAGTCTGCCCCAAACTCGTATTTTCTAGCTAGTCCCTATATCTGTGCAACCTGCATGGTGTAAACCTTTAATATTTTAAACTTGAATTATGTAATCTTAAAAAAATCATAATTCAAAATGTCTAGGGCCTACGACATTGGGTTGCAAAGATGTAGGGATTAGAAAATCAAGAGTTTCTGACGCAAAGACTGAATTCCTTTATTATTGTTATTTTTTAATTTGAAATCGTATGAAAAAATTATTGAAGATAGATCAGCAAAAAACGTTAAGGTGTAGAAATAAATTTTTCAGTTTTACGTCTTATGTTATATAGCCAAAAAACTAACAAAAAATGCCGAGCACCATTTTGTGGGGTGGGGACACCGAAGCGGGAATAATAAACATTTATTTTGAATATATAATATATATTACAAAGACAAACAGCAAAGCAGATGTTGTTATGAGACATATTTGAAAATCAATTTAATCATTATAAATTGATTTTTATCTCCAAGGTGTAAAGTACACAGAGTACATCAGTTCCTTTTTATGTTTAAAAAGATATCTATAAAAACTTATTATAAATTTTATCAATTTGAAAAAATTAATTTATGTACGATCGAAACTAACGGAACATAACATTTCTTAATTTTTCTATTCTTCCTAAACGTCGAACTAGCGTCACAAGACCAATTTAATGCGTACACAACCGTAACGCCAATTATCATCCTATACTATTGCGTAATATTATGAAAAATATAGAATTTGATAAAAATTAAGGGTTATACGATTAACGTTTATGGATTAGAAATTATATAGATTTTTTAAAAAGTACCTGTGAAAAACATGGTATTCTTTTTTCTCTTTTTTTATTTTATTGTCAATTCACTTCGTAAACCTTCTCTTAAGATTTATCACTTGAAACCAAGGTTCAGGTTGGAACTCTGCTCCGTTCTGGCCTGGGTTCGGAGAAAAACTAACCGCGCGGAGCGGAGAGAGGGCGGGGGAGGGGTCCTTCCTTCCTTCCATCCCTCTTGTAGGCGCGGTACGGATGGCTGGAACCACGACGGCGCTTAAAAGCCGGTTCTAAGGTCCCCTGGGGATATTAGTACCTTACCAGGCACACCAGGCCCGTAGCCAGGAATTTCACGGTCGGTTCTTATGTCAGAAAAGGTACTTTGTGGTCTACACTCTACAACAAACTACAAAGCCGGTCAAACTAAAATTGTACAATTAAACCTATACAATTCTAAACCTTTACAATTCTAAACCTATACAATTCTAAACCTATACAATTCTAAACCTATACAACTCTAAACCTATACAATTCTAAACCTTTACAATTCTAAACCTATACAACTCTAAACCTATACAATTCTAATTTCTAAACCTTTACAATTCTAAACCTATACAATTCTAAACCTATACAATTCTAAACCAATACAACTCTAAACCTAACCTATACAATTCTAAACCTATACAATTCTAAACCTATACAATTCTAAACCTATACAATTATAAACCTATACAATTCTAAACCTTTACAATTCTAAACCTTTACAATTCTAAACCTTTACAATTCTAAACCTATTCAATTATAAACCTATACAATTCTAAACCTATACAATTATAAACCTTTACAATTCTAAACCTATAACACTTCTAAACCTATACAATTCTAAACCTATACAATTCTAAACCTATACAGTTCTAAACCTATACAATTATAAGCCTATACAATTCTAAACCTATACAATTATAAACCTTTACAATTCAAAACCTCTACAACTAAACCAATACAATTCTAAACCTTTACAACTAAACCTCTACAGCTAAACCTATACAATTCAAAAATTTTACAACTAAACCTCTACAGCTAAACCTATACAATTCAATAACTTTACAACTAAACCTATACAATTTTAAACCAAAAAAATAGCAAATTCATCAAAACTAAACTTTAACACGTTAATAAAATAGGTTGCATGCATTTTCCCTTTTTTACCGGCCCTGGGGCCATGGATAGTGGATAGTTCAAATTCTGCGTTTCATTTCTATTGTCCATGTGTTGCCATGAATATAAGAAAAATAGTGGACAAGTTTTTTACTGGTTTTAATTCTTCAGTTTTTCAAGTGTTCGAGTCAATAAGTGACTGGCAGGAACAAAACATGAAGAAGATGAAAATATATAAATGTAAAGAGGGACAATTAAAGAAACAACTGTTCTTCTTAAAGGGAGTGTTCGCGAAAAATTAAAGGGGGTATAGGTTTACGTCGAAAAATAATCGCTTTTGATCTCTGATCTTACTTCTGTCTGTTGCGCCTATAATGAGAAAAGTGTTAAAAACGACTTATACCGAAGAACGTAGCGTTCATACAAATTCAGAAAGATGCAACATTCAACTTGGATCGTAAACAAATCAATTTAATTCCAAACAAATCATTCTGATATTACAAACAATAGGCATCGATTAGTTTTCGACGCATTCATATATATGTAGTTGATATTTTAAAATACTTTTTATTTTTTATGATCTGAAAGTTACTTTTCAAAACATTTATTCCTGTTTCGAGGATTTTTGATAATGAAGACGACATTTTCATATTTTCCAGGAATGTTCGAAAATTCAGCAGCAAAAAAAAGCCCTTATTTTCCGCCGTAAACCTATACCCCCTTTTATTTTTCACGAACACTCCCACTATGTGAAAAAACACTATGTGAAATGTGTGAAAAAACACTATGTGAATCTACATTTTAAATATTCAAATAGTTATTTATTCATGAAACCATTAAAGGGAGTGACCGGCTTTGTAAGGTAGTTAACCTGAGTCTGCAGTGTTGTGGAAAACTTCTTTCTTATTCATTTGAGACATATTAAACTTTTTAAAGATCTGTAAATCCTGAGTTTGAGCGCAAATTCGACGTTCAAAACTCCAACTTAGGGGGTGGACACGTTTTCAGAATTAGAATTACAGAGCCGGTAACTCCCTTTAAATACAAATGAATGATTATTTTTCAACCAAATCTCTTCACTTCTTCACTTTGAATAAAAAGTTGCAATTTGCTATTATTTCTGTAATTAACATGATGAAAAAAATGATGTAAACCTACATTTGGAATATTCATATACTTAATTATTCATGAAACCATTATTTACAAATATGTGATTATTTTTTAACCAAACCTTTCTATATATTAGACGTGGGAATATTTGGTTTCATTTCATAATAATAATAAATAAGATGGTTCGCTTTAGAGTCGGTTTCTTTAAAAACGAAACAATTTCAAAAGAAAGCAATCGTTATGTAATTTTCACAATTTTAAAAATACTTTTGAAAAATGGAAAAGAAGTTAAAATAAACTTTCCGACCTCTGGATGGGAAATTGTAAAAAAAAACGTTTGTATATTAACTCTATCTATAATGCACCCCACGGTTATTGCTAGCCATCAGACAAAGCCAACTTAAACTTAATTATCTCTTGGTGGATTTTCCACATATGCCGGAAATTTAATTTAAATCCTTTAATTTTAAATTTTACAATGTGGATATTAAGTTTTGTAGATTTGGCTATCCCAATAAAAAGTGTCTGCCTCTGTTCACAAAATTAATACTACTATAGAACTTTCCACCATAAACTTAAAAAATATCTCATTGGTAAAATTGAAAAAAAGACATTTTGAATTAAAGTGATGTTAGTAATCCTTGAAAATAAACTATGAAAAGATAAGTGTACTTTGCGCTTTTAGAGTTTAGGCAATTTTGCGGAAGATTTGGTGGATTTATTATACTCAAGTTCAACTGTTTATTCTACAAAACTATAAATGTCACAATAAATATCTGCAGCTTTGTTTACAATATTCAGAGATTGTATTCTTCCACAATGGGATCTAGTAGGGACTCATAAAACTCTGAAATAAGAAGACGACTGCGGACTGTTTTAAAGAGAAAATACAGTGTCCTATTTCACTTGATCAGTGGATTTTCAAGCCTTATAACATCAAATAGACGTAACATGGCTTAATTCTTGTCTGCCTATTCCACAGTAGTAAGGCTCCCACTGTAAAAGAAAATATTCTTATTCTTCGCAAAAAATTGATATCCACAACAAAAATTTTTTTAGTGAAATCTAGTGATTATTTCGAGAAAAGTAACTTACTCTTATTTTCACGATTTATTTTTTGACGCTGATTTGTCAGATATTGAAATAGATTTCTAAAAGGAATTTATTTAACCCGTTGACTATCTATTGTGCGGATTTTTAAAGCTTTTTCAAGGATTAGTTTGAAAACGATAGTTTCGAACTCAAGACTATGGAGTAAATAACTCACATCCGGCACCTTTCTTTGGAAATAAAAATGACACATTTTCTTTTCAATATTCATGATTGCGACAATTTGTGAAGTTGTGAAGAGTTTAACGCACCCAGGACTAACCAGAGTCTTTTATTTGAAATCAAACGTGTTCTGATCTATAGTTAAACAATCTTTAAACTAACAGATTAGTTTATTTTATACTTTTTCATTCAAAACGTACATACATGCCGACAAGAAAGTATTTAAGAAAAAAGGCTAAAAAATTATGTATAATGGAATTAATCTTTGCCACAAACTCTGAATTTATAATCCCTATTTCTTTGCAACCAAATGTAGACCTTAGATGTATTTCAAACAATGAATTCTGTTCGATCAAATAATCTAAGCTTGATATATCAAAGGTTTACACCATCATGTGGCAGAGATATAAGGATTAGAAAATCAGAGTTTGTTGCAAAGACTCAATTACTTTCCCATGCAAAATCATGATTTATTCAACTTTTTGTAAACAAAAATAATTTTCTGTGAGATAAAAAAATAACTCAGGTTTTAAAACAATTTATTTCTATATTTAAAAAGTAATGGAACAATATCCTATGAGTAGTTATGAAACTTACATTACATTACGCAAAATTGAGTAGAAATTATTTGTTTCCATTACGCAAAATATGGCGTTACATGAGTGGAAATAGCTTGTTTACAAAACAAATCCAGCACGAAGCGTAAAAGAAAGTTTGAAACGTAAAACCATGGAACTTTGAATAAAAAAGTTGAGATTGAGTTGAGGTTTGATAACAGGGTTGAGGTTTAACATTTCTCCTCCTCTAGCCCATGCTTGAAGGCGAGCAGGACGGGTCTTTCCTCTCCATCTATCTCCTTGTAGTCCAGGATAAGGATCATAGCTGTGGGATCCATAGACTCACCTAAACACAAGTTTTAGCTTGTCATTACAGTCTTGCAATTACAATCTATACATTTACATTGCTTGTCTGTTTGTTTGCATCCAATAAACCTCAAAATTGGGCCCAAATTTTGTGTGTGACTTCACATGACCCAGGGAAGGTTTATGGATATTCAGATTTCAGAAAATTCGCCTCCAAAACATTTCGATTTTCGTAAAATTTGGAAAAACCACGCAAAAAACTCCAGGATTTTTATGTTATTGTTTTAAAATGTAGGAAGAGAAAATGTACACAGATAGAGGAACAATTAAAAGTTGAAATAGAAAATTGTGAAAGTTTATTAAATTATACAATAACAAAATCACGAAACCTCCTTAGTGGGTCACCGGTCAAATCACTACAAAATAACTAAAAACAGGTTTTAATAGAATTACCTTGGAAAAACTGGAGATCCTTAAACTTAGAGAGGAGTCCCTTCATGACCCCATTGATGTTCTTCTTGAAGGTGTCAACCTCCCCAGCCCTGTCGTGGGTCTCCAGGTACTTGACCACCTTCTTCATGTAGTCCTTCAGGTAGACCATGTAGTCGTTCTTGTTCCCGAACCCTAAGAAAAATAAAAATAAAATAAAAAAATAAAAATTGTCTTCTTTGTTCTTTCTTTTATTAGTTTGTAACGGATATAGGAGTATTTGTGCAAAAATGTTCGTAGAAAATTTTAAGAAATAAACAAAAAAAATCTTGGCGACATTTAACGATCAAAATAAATGGCGTAGACGACAGTCATTTCCACAGCTTTTGGTGATCATAATTGTACTTATACTCTAGGTTCAGTATAAGATCTATATATAATCTATTCTAACCTGTCCCTACTAGTCTATGGTTGAGTATATGATCTAATATAATCTATTCTAACCTGTCTCTACTAGTCTATGACTGACTATAAGATCTATATATAATCTATTCTAACCTGTCTCTACTAGTCTATGGTTGAGTATAAGATCTATATATAATCTATTCTAACCTGTCTCTATTAGTCTATGGTTGAGTATAAGATCTATATATAATCTATTCTAACCTGTCTCTACCAGCTATGGTTGAGTATAAGATCTATATATAATCTATTCTAACCTTTCTCTATCAGCTATGGTTGAGTATAAGATCTATATATAATCTATTCTAACCTGTCTCTACTAGTCTATGGTTGAGTATAAGATCTATATATAATCTATTCTAACCTGTCTCTTTAGTCTATGGTTGAGTATAAGGTCTATAAATAATCTATTCTAACCTGTCTCTACTAGTCTATGGTTGAGTATAAGATCTGTATATAATCTATTCTAACCTGTCTCTACTAGTCTATGGTTGAGTATAAGATCTATATATAATCTATTCTAACCTGTCTCTACTAGTCTATGACTGACTATATGATCTATCCCAGAGACTGAGTTAGAATCTACTCCTTCATCCATCTCCTCTGCACTAGCATTAGAACCCTCAAGCTGTATGTCTCCTTCAGTTCTTGTGATATGCTGAAACGAATACAAAAATTTAAAACGAATTCCCCCAAACATTTGGAAAAAGATTACTCTTAGAATTCGCAACGTAAACCCAACAAGAACCAAGGATTTAATGCAGGGAAAGTTATTTCAGAGGTGTACGCATCTTTTGTACTGCAGTGTACTGTCACTGGGCGGTAATGTAAACACAAGACGTATGTCGAAGCCTGACATAGGATCCATCTTTCACATAAATAATCAATGAAATATTCTGGTCATAGGAAACTATTAGGTGAATTATCAAAATTTTCAAAATTCAATGCTTTTAACCTCCTCGGATACTAAACGAACACCGAGGCATCTATTCTTGTTTACAAATTCCGCCCAGAGAGAACTGGTTTCAATATGTTCGCAGAGTATACGCAACTGCAATTAACTTTCCTTGCATTACATTCTTGACAAGAGCAATCAATCCAAAAATATCAAAGAATTTCAAATAGGTTACAATATCTAAATAAATCGTAAGTAAAGTTTTGCACACAAATTCACAGCAAATCGTGCATCAAATTAAATATAATTTGTATTGTGTGAAAAAATATTTCCGAACGTGACGGGATATGGGTTAGTGTATTTTTACTTTAAATCGAGTCCTGAAAAAACAGAGAGGAAACACTATAAAAATTAGGGCGTTTTTTTAGTCGGAAATGGCATTTGAAAAATCACGACATATTGTTAATTATCTGCAACGCTTTTTTGTTTATGCACTGCCGCAGAATTTCTTCTGGAAATTTTATTTCACTCTCTAAAAAAGGCCTCTGTCCACAAAAAGTTTTCGTAAAAATCCCAGTTTTCATTTCTAAAATTTAAATTTTCTGTTTTTTTTTGAGGTTCTTATTTTTAAATAATTAAAATTGTTTTTATTTGATTAAAAAAATATTTGAAATAAAATAAAAAGAATTATTTTTAAGGTTTAAAAAATTTGGATTTAACTGCTAATTTTTATTATTGATTTAAACAAGAAAAGCCAATGTTAAACAGGATTAAAATGGTTAATTTTGAAATTGTTAATTTCTTCTCAAGAAATTCCAGGATGGCCAGTTTAGGTACAAGTAACTGAGAAAATACCAACATTTTAAGGAACAAAAAGAGATAATCCTGAAAACGAATGGTTAGTGTGATTTGCTGGGGTTTCGTCACCGGATTGAGGATGCAGGTCTGAAGAAGGATCAAGGAAATGATGTCCTTGATGCACTAGAACTGAAAGTAATAAAAGATTCCAGAAGAAATTCTGCGGCAGTGCGAACTTTGGATCGTATATTGCATAAACATAACAACAAAATATCATATTTAAATACAGTACTTTTATCTATTATACACAGGGTTCTAAACATTAATTCAGATTAAGCTGAATAACCTGAACCTTACTCTCTACCCTCTTCTCTGCACTTCATCCCGAACCTTACTTCTCCACCCTCTTCCCTGCACTTCATCTAGAACCTTACTTTTCCACCCTCTTCCCATCACTTTATCCCGAACCTTACTTCTCCGCCCTCTTCCCTACACTTCAATCCTGAACCTTACTTCTCAATCCTCTTCCCTACACTTCATCCAGAACCTTACTTTTCCACCCTCTTCCCTACACTTCATCCCGAACCTTACTTCTCCATCCTCTTCCCTGCACTTCATCCCAAACCTTACTTCTCCACCCTCTTCCCTACACTTCAATCCTGAACCTTACAATTCTCCATCCTCTTCCCTGCACTTCATCCCGAACCTTACTTCTCCACCCTCTTCCCTACACTTCATCCCGAACCTTACTTCTCCACCCTCTTCCCTACACTTCATCTAGAACCTTACTTCTCCACCCTCTTTCCTACACTTCATCCCGAACCTTACTTCTCCACCTTCCTCCCTACACTTCAATCCTGAACCTTACTTCTCCATCCTCTTCCCTGCACTTCATCCCGAACCTTACTTCTCCACCCACTTTCCTGGACTTAATCCAGAACCTGACTTCTCCACTCTCTTCTCTTAACTGCATCCTGATTCTCAACTCTTTCCTGCACCTTACTTCTCTATCCTCTTCCCATTCTCCACCCTGAACCATACTTTTCCACCCTCTTCCTTGAACCTTACTTCTCCACAATCTTCCCTGCACTCAATCCTGAACAATACTGTTCCACCCTCTTCCCTACACTCCATCCTGAACCATACTTCTCCACCATCTTCCCTACACTCCATCCTGACCATACTTCTCCACCATGATAATAGATATTACATGTAAAAGCAAGAGTTATAAGGAAGCTGTACTGTATAGCGGAGGCTCGATCTGCCTAGCAAATACAAATCTGGGAGGCTTGTGTCTGCATTACGTTCGGTGGTTTCCTCCCTCTCCCACCACTCTATCCTAAACCTTACTTCTCCCCACTCTTCCCTTCATTCCATCCTGAACCTTACTTATACATCCTCTTCCCTTCACTCCATTCTGAACCTTACCTCTCCACCCTCTTCCCTTCACTTCATCCTGAACCTTTCTTCTCCACCCTCTTACTTATACTCCATCCAGAACCTTACTTCTCAACCCTCTTCCCTTCACTCCATCTTGAACCTTACTTCTCCAGCCTCTTCCCTGTACTTCATCCTGAACCTTTCTTCTCCACCCTCTTACTTATACTCCATCCAGAACCTTACTTCTCAACCCTCTTCCCTTCACTCCATCCTGAACCTTACTTCTCCACCCTCTTTCATGCACTTCATCCTGAACCTTTCTTCTCCACCCTTTTCCCTTTACTCCATCCTAAACCTTACTTCTCCATCCTGAACCTTACTTCTCCACCCTTTTCCCTTCACTCCATCCTAAACCTTACTTCTCCATCCTGAACCTTACTTCTCCACCCTTTTCCCTTTACTCCATCCTGAACCTTTCTTCTTCAGCCTCTTCCCTGCACTTCATCCAGAACCTTACGTCTCCAGCCACTTCATCCTGAACCTTACTTCTCCACCCTCTTCCCTGCACTTCATCCTGAACCGTTCACTTCTCCACCCTCTTCCCTGCACTTCGTTCTGAACCGTTCACTTCTCCCTCTTCCCTTCACTCCATCCAGAACCTTACTTTTTCATCCTCTTCCCTGAACTCCAGGAAATAGCGTATTTAATCAATGAATCTGCTTTTTAAATGGTACAAACGAGTTACCAAATATAACCTATGGTATTTTAGTAGAACTCGCGTATTTTTAAAATTAAGTAAATGAAGTAGATATATAACCACGCGCATACAGTTTATCTACCTCGTCTTATGTGGTCTTTGGAATTGATCTAATAGATCATTAGACGGGGTTGTTGTTAATTTTACACGAAATAAAAAAGTTCATGCAAGGTCTCAGAACGAAATTTATTTTGCGAATCTTACTAAATGGTTTACTCTTTCGAAGTTGATTATTTATCCAATTTGTAACAAGATATTTGTCATAAGATATTTGTAACAAGATATATGTAATAATATTTGTAATAAGATAGATTTCGCGAATAAAACAATTAAAATTTGACAGTTAGTTACGATCTGTGAATTCCGACAAGATTTAAAAAACGTATCTTAGACCCTATTGAAATATTACCAGCACGAATCGTTACCATACAAAGGTAAAACAGACTCAAAAAACCCTGAAGACCCTTTAAACCAACGATAAATGTAGCTTACTATTCATTTTACCACGTCCAACAAAACTATTTTCTTTTAACAGCTTTACACAAGATAGATGAACAAACCATCTTTAACTACAAGCTACTATAAAACATGTAATTTCTGTCTCATCGTTTTATGTCCTACAATTTCGATCATAATAAATCTACCAATCTATTCGTCATATTACCCAATAATATATTTATATATTTAGAAATACGATTAGCGTCGTAACAAGCGCATGCGCAAAGAAGAGATTCAGTAAAATATTAAAAATATATTAAAGGTTTTATTTGAAAATAGCCCGTGATACACGAATATTGTCTGGTAGATGTTTCTTGTCAAGCTTCGCGAGTCCTGAAACAAATAAAAAAATTAGTTTAACTCATAAAAGAAAACGGCAATTTCCAGGTCGAAAGAAAAGGATATCTCCAAAATTTTTGCCAAGGACGAAGGTTGGTACCGTTTTATTTCTTTCCAAAAAGTTTCACCTGAATTTGAAAAGTTTATTTTGGTTCAAATTAGAAATTTGGATATGAATATCTGGAAATAGTATGGGCCCATCACATGTGTATGAATATCTGGGAGTACTGAACTACCCAGGTAATCACATTTGTGCATGAATATCTGGGAGTACTGAACCCCCCGGGTAATCAAATTTGTACATGAATATCTGGGAGTACTGAACTACCCAGGTAATCACATTTGTGCATGAATATCTGGGAGTACTGAACTCCCCAGGTAATCACATTTGTACATGAATATCTGGGAGTACTGAACCCAAAAGGTAATCACATTTGTATATGAATATCTGGGAGTACTAAACCCCAAGGTAATCATAATTGTTATCATATTTGTAACCCCCCCCCCCTTCTAGTTATCACACTGCAAAAAAAATTACTTTCAAACCCCAAATCTGAACTATTGAAGTAAGAGATAATGAAATTTTACTGATTTCTGAATGGTTCATTAAGTTTAAGCTAAAAATAAGCGAAAAAAATAAGACAAATGTGAAAATTCAGTTAATTTTATGGAAATAACCTGGATTTGGATCCGGATTTTTTCCATTTCGGATCCAGGATCCGAATAAAAATCAAGGATCCTAAGCACTGGTCTCAATACATGCAGATTTTATATTTAGAAAAAATGGGTCAGCGCAAGCACTAACCGGTTTGTAGGATTTTAAGATTTTTTACAAAAACGTAATGGACTGCATGATTTTAAAATAAGAAAAAAAAATTACATTTTTGTTTTGCTTATTTATTTTATTGAGACAAGGAATAACCTTCACAGAATTAAACAACAAGATATTTTCTGATTCCCTTCTCAGTATCTTTAAATGAAAGAAAATCTCACCTTTGTAGGTTTAACACTTCTCCTCCTCCAGGCCATGCTTGAAGGCCATGAGGCAGGGAGTTTCAACCCCGTCAATCTCCTTGTAGTCCAGGATGCAGATCATGGCCTCGGCGTCCATGGACTCTCCTGAACACGACACATTTCAGTAAATAGTTGTATAATGTATTGTATATGCTTCAGAACAAGATACTCGATTATCTTAACATATTCTTCTGGATGTTACTAGTGACCATAATTTAAGAATGCCTAAGATTAATGTTTTTCAATGGAGTTTTTGGACAATCATGTAGGAATGCCGAAAAAGAAATTGAAAATTTAATTTTGCATATTTCTGAGACCATGCTTTATAAAACAAGCATGGACACTTGTATATGCTTTGAACAAAAAAATAAATATCTAAACCCCATTACAATTATTTAAGAATAAATAATTTTTCTTTTATAATATAGGAATGCCGAAAAAAATTTATTGAGTTTTATTTCAGAGACAATGATTCAAAAAACAAGCATGGACACTTATATAGCTTAGAACAAAAACCTAAAAATGTCCTTTGGATGATATTTCATTTAGGAATAACTTGATTGAATAATGTTCTTCAACTGGTCCTTTAAACATTTATATAGAAATGCTGAATAAGAAATCGAAAATTTAATTTAGCATATTTCTGAGACCATGCTTTATAAAACAAGCATGGACACTTGTATATGCTTGTAGGAATGCCGAAAAAGAAATTGATTATTTAATTTTGCATATTTCTGAGACCATGCTTTATGAAACAAGCATAGACACTTGTATATGTCTGGAACAAAAAAATCCTAATAGAACAACTTAAAACTGTTAAAACATGATTTAAAAATATTTCATATTGTATTTAAAGAAGAAAATCATGTATGCCTTCTAAACCCTAAGCTATATTAAGTTTTTGGACATTTATGTAGAAATGCTAAAAAAGAAATCGAAAATTTAATTTTGCATATTTCTAAGACCATGCTTTATAAAACAATCATGGACACTTGTATATGCTTGTAACAAAAAAATAAATATCTAAACCCTATTATTAAAGAAAAACTGTAGGAATGCCGAAAAAGATATTGAATATTTGATTTTGCATTTTTCTGAGACCATGCTTTATAAAACAAGCATGGACACTTGTATATGCTTGCAACAAAAAAAAAATATCCTTTGGATGATATTCTAGATTATAATTTAGGAATAATTTGATTTGAATAATGTTTTTCAACTGGTCCTTAAACATTTTGTAGAAAATTTAATTTTGCATATTTCTGAGACCATGCTTTATATAACAGGCATGGACACTTGTACTGCAATAAAAATCCAAAAAATTTCATTTTTTGAAATAAATTCATAAATGTTTCTAAGAAGTCAGGTTCTTCCGAAATGGAAATTTTAGCCAATAAAAAGAGGTGCGGGGGTTGAGAAATCTTCTGTCGACCATAAACTTAAACGTTATTCAGGTTGCTGGATGTATTTCAATGGAGTTTTTAGACACACATATAGGAATGCCGAAAAAGAAATTGATAAGGTTTATTTAGCATATTTATGAGACCATGCTTCAATATGATAAAACATGGGCACTTTAATGTGCATAAGCGATTGCTCAGAGCAAACTAACATGGTTCAATATTTTTCTATCGACAATGAACTGTGGGGAAAAGCTATACATGCTTAAGGTGTAACTTAAATCTTAACTAGGAGCCGTCTAGTAGACCACGGCATATGAACGCAAAGGATCCACTTGCAAATCTAGTTTATTGCGTTTTTTTAAATATGTATTTCAATGGAGTTTTTTAACACTCGTAGTAGAATGCCGAAAAAGAAATTGATAAGGTTTATTTAGCATATTTATGAGACCATGCTTCAATATGAGAAAACATGGGCACTTAAATATGCATATTCGTTAATTCAGGTCCAAATAAGATTCACTGTATTTTAGGTCAAACTCTTTTCGTTAAACATGGAAACTTTTACATGGCGGAAAAATTAGGTCGTTTTTAATGGACGAAATGATAAACATTAAGAAAATCAGAATTAATTTTCTATTTCAGGGACTGTAAGCGTAAGAGTAATGGCAATGCCAGATGCTATTTCGCGAAAATTCGGAAGAAAATCTTGGTATTTGCGTATTTTGTTAATTCCTCCTATTTCGTTAAATTTCAAGAAACAATTAAATGTATTTTCACTGCATGGATTTAGAAACATTGGTACCCTTGAAACCTTTCTGATCAGTAATGTTGAAGAAATGACCGTTCAGTTCCTTTCTTTCCTGCAGAACAAACTCAAGTCAGTTTGGTAGAGAAACCACAATTGCATAAAATCTGTTAATAAATTTTATACATCACTGTCTAATTCGTGCGCACAAAGCTTTATAGTTTTTAGGATACAACTGTGAATTGTCATCTTTGCTGGGAGTCATTAAAATTACGATTACAGTTCCTTTAAAACAATGCTTAGGATCCATTTAATTTTGATGCGGATCTGGATCCTGGATCCGCACTGGGAAAAAATTGATCCGGATCTAAAAATCCAGGTCATTTCTTTAAGATTTACTGAATTTTTTAACAAAAAATACTTTTCAAATCTCGACTTATTTTTATCCTAAAACTTAATGAACCATTTTCAGATGAGGAAATTTTTATAATTTCTTTATCAAAAAGTTCAGATTTGGGGTTTACGAGTAAAAAGTTTTGTTGCAGTTTTTGGTTGGTTATGCGGATCCGGGAACCCAATATCTTGCGGATCCGGATCCTAAGCACTGCTTTAAGACAGATCATTTCTGAATTTTTATCGTCGCTAAGATTCATGTTTCCCATAATTGAAGAGCGCATATAAACACATTTATGGGAGGGGGGCCGGGGGGGAGCAGAAATTATTGTAGGTTCTTACCGGTGTAGAATTGGAGATCCTTGAATTTTCCTAGAAGTTCCTTCATCACTTTGTTAATATTGTTCTTGAAGGTCTCAACCTCCTCACCCCTGTTGTTGTCCTCGAGGTGCTTAATCACCTTCTTCATGTAATCCTTCAGGTAGACGGTGTAATCCTTCTTGCTTCCGAATCCTGGGATTAACAAATATTCAATCATTGAAAATTGAACGCCGTTTAAAGGATGGGAAAAAGGTGCTGTTTAAAGGAGGGAAAAAAGGTGCCGTTTAAAGGAGGGGAAAAAAGGTAATCATAAAAAACGGAAGATATTAATAGAGCGGTGAATGCGTTGATTTACTAATAGGGTGAATCTAAAACTTCAAATAAAAATTGCCATATCCGAAATATTCAATATCTCCGGAGATTCTCATATCAAGATAAAAGGGAAGAACGCCGTTCAGCTAAAAAATGTATATATTTTTTAATTCGGGAGATAAGTAATGACTATGAATTTTGACAAAATAATTTAAGCCTAGTCTGTTAAATAGCAATTACAGATTTTTTTTAGGAAAAAACCCAAGATAATATCGAACCACGTGGATTCAATTAAGAGCAAGAAAAAGCCAAATTTCAAGATTTAATTGTTGGCCGGGGAGAAAACATTGTTTACTCACCGGTTTCTACCAATCTATGGTTAAGAATGATATCAACGCCAGATACTGCGCTAGAATCACATCCTTCATCAGCCTCCTCGGCAGATGCGTTGGATCCAGCAAGCTGAATCTCTCCCTCAACTCGGGTCTCGTGCTAAACGAAATAAATGTTAATACTAGATTTCTTGACTAGAGCTGAAAACTTTATAATTGGGGAAATCGAGATCAATTCTTTTTTAACACCTAAAATTTGTATTTAGGAGTTTCTAAAATTCAAACAATCAGAGTGGAATGTGTTAAACCCCGCAAAGTCAATCAGAAGCCTAGTTTGAAATTTTGCGCGCTATTTGATGTCCTCATTGGTCCAAATCCAGTAATGAAATTAAAAGTGGATTAAGCAGAAATCAAAAGTATCCAGAGGACGTTCTGATTAAACAATCGGTAAGAAGAGTATCCCAGTCTAAAGTTGTCAGCTCTGGTTTCTTCAATTTCGAGTAAAGTTATACGAAAACTAAGACATAGAAAAAAACTAAAAAAGGTTTGGAAAAACACAAGTCACAATTACAATTTACATTTAAAATTGGGCACAACAACAAGACTAAATTTAGAATGCACACAGAGAAAAAGAATTGACAAGCATTAACGCTTAAATCTAAAGAACAGGTATACGAAGAGTCTACTTTTTAACACTAAAGCATAAGAAAAAAAATATACAAAATTTAATACATAAGCAATAATTTTTAATATTTTAAACCTAATATCGTATCAGCATAATGAAATGGCTACAATGTAGAACAAATAAAAATTCTAGATTTGCCCGAAAGAAAAAAAAAATTCTGAAATGTAAGGCTGTAACTGAAATCATATATGAAATTAAGGGGTTCTCCAGCTCTTAATCAAATCACTTGAAGTAGTGTTAAAAGTTACTAAAAATGGATCAAACTATCCATTTCAATAATGTGAAGAAATTGAGTTTTTGTCAGAAACTCTATTTACTAATCCCAATACCTTTAAAACGCAATGTTGTAGATCTGTGATATGTCAAACTTTGAATTCTGTTAGTTTAAATAGTCATAGTATGAAATATCAGTGGTTTACACCAGTGCTAAGGATCCATTTTATTTTGATGCGGATACAGGTAATTTCTTAAAAGTTTGCCAAAAATTTTAACTGAGCAGAAATTTAGAATTCTCATTTTTCGCGTGTTGTTTTTGGTAGATAATTTGCCCCCTTGGATCCGTATCCAAAGCGCTGGTTTACACCATCAGTTTTCAAAGATATAAGACTTTAAAGATGCGAGTTTGTGGCGAAAACGCAGTTCCTTCCCAGAAGCAATTCTACAGCACAAAACTTGATAGTAGTTCTACATGTGCTAAATACTCGAGTTAAGAATAGACAAACTAAAGGGTGGTCCACAAGTTATATAAGATATATCAAGGGATTTTAACGAAAAAATAACAGATCTCATTTGTGGGTAACCCTGTAATAAATTTAAAATAAAAAAACTACACATCAGCATGGCGCATTTCGTACAGATAAATTAATTAAAAATTATTCATAAGTTTAAAAACGCGCGAGTAAAAGTTGTCCTTTAGTATACATCACCCTCCCTTATCAAACTTCAAGCTGCGCCAGCATTATGTAATACTTCAAAATAAAGTAAATATATATATATATATAAATCAGGTTAGTGTAAATCTCGGTAGAATGTCAAGTTTCTACTTTAAATTGTTAGTAGAAAGTCAAATCAGTTTAGTTTAGTTGAACAGATAGTCGTCTACTCTGTTTTAGGTTGGTTGATTATTGGGATCACATCACTCCCTATACCTAGGGGGACCTAGAGAACCATTCCTCGCCCGTCCTCGAATTCCGATCTGAAACATAAAAAGATCAATACTAAATCAACACTTTACTTAGATAAACAAGGATAGTTAAAAATCAGATCCGTCTTGAAACAAAATTAACCTCAGGAGTCAGTATGAAAGAAATCATCATTATAGAACGTCACAGATTAATAAGTATCAACCGTACCTGATGTTCAGCTTCCTATCCTAGCCATAATCCCGTCTTTTCCTGAAACAACATATATAATTGATAACTAAGACTTAATTTTGATTTATTTAAAGTTTTAGTATAAAAATCAGATCCGTCTTGAAACAAATAAAACCTCAGGAATCGGCTTAAAAAAATCATCATTGAAATATGTAAGATACGATAAGGATCAGTTCTGAGAAATAACAGATGTTAAAAATCAAGTTCAATTTTAAATAATATCTAATAATTATTTTGATCTAGATTCAAGGGATTATTGGGATACGGATAAAACTTAGGACTGTACGAAATTTAATAGTCAATTTCTTTAAACTAACGATTCCTTGCAACATTTTAGTTCTTTGACATATCAATAAATAAACCAGAAAAAGAAATATTGAATGCACAAGACTTAATACCTTTAAATAAACATTTTATGAGATTCAGGTAATAATACGTCTAATTATTGTACAATCTTGACATGACCCAAATAGATATTCCCAGAACAGATTCATTTAATTGTTAATTTAGACAAAACTTACTTTTAATGGATGCCAGCAGCATAAATCGCGCCATCGCCATCTTGCTCTTCGTGCCAGAGAAGGATAGAATTGAAGTAGTTGAGATCGAAGATATCCTGGAGCTTGAAGTTTTGAATCTTGAAACTCTCATTTTGACTTGATTTAAGAATTGGCTAGCAGCCAGCTGTCAGAATATAAATAGCGAGGTTTGCGCATGCGCGGAGGTTATAATGCGATATCCTCATATTGACATATTGAACTATATGTATAATACATCTATAATATGATACGTACAAAAATATTCCCACGGACCAACTGAACTCACCTTGCCGTAGACCTCCCACATGCAGTCATCGACCAGCTTCATCTTGTAGGTGTCAGAGAACAGCTCATCACCTGAAACCATGATCATTAATATGTATATATAATATTCCCTCTCGTTTGTATTGATAACTCGTTCAGAACTGCGGATTAAAAAAACCCGCGTTATGTAAATTTACGTTAATTATTTAAACATTAGTAGAGGGTGGGGTACCGTCCTAGAGAACACGTATACTAGGACAGACCCGAAATTTTCTTAACCCAACCCTAAACTCAAACAAAATAACTTAAAATTTATGGTCATGTACAAAATTAACATGAGGGGATATCCAATACTTGTATACTTGGGTAAAAAATTCCGCCACGAGAATTCAGACACATGCTAACAGGGAAAAGAATCTCTTTAAAACTCATTCAGATGGCTATAAACCCATTTTGGATGATATTCATCGAAAACCGAAAGTAATTTCCTATTATACGATTTTTGGACCCCCCCCCCACCTCCAATCAATTTTGTACATGGGTGTGACAGGAAGTGTCTTAACTTAACCTAACCCGTGGCCGCAGCGCTCGGCCCCCTAGCCCATCCTAGCCGCAGCGCTCGGCCCAGAAATTGTCTTAACCTAACCCTAAAAGTACAAAATCGCTAGGAGGGGGGAGGGGGGTCCAAAAATAGTTCTAAGAAATAACCGGGGGAGAAGAAACAGTAATTGAATTTTAACAAGTCTAATAATTGAAAAGTAGGTAATTTCCTAATAGCTTAAAAAAGACAATGCATGAGGTTGGTAATGTGGCCGCAGCGCTCGGCACCCTAGCCTGTCCTAGCCGCAGCGCTCGACTCTCAAGTGTCTTAACCTCACATAACCCTTTGTATAAACATTTTGTTAAAACTTGTTGAAATAAAATTTCTGTCCTGGCCGTGGCGCTCGGCCCAGAAATTTTGGTATATTCCTAGTACACGATTTTTGGACCCCCCCCCATCCTATCAATTTTGTACATGGGTGTGACAGGAAGTTTCTTAACTTAACCTAACCCGTGGCCGCAGCGCTCGGCCCCCTAGCCCATCCTAGCCGCAGCGCTCTGCCCAGAAAGTATCTTAACCTAACCTAACCCTAAATAACAAAATAATAAATAATAATAAATTTGCTGAAAAATAAATGGTCATGTACAAAATTGATAGGAGAGGGGGGGGCTGGGGGGGTCCAAAAATCGTATACTAGGACAGACCCAAACCGAAGAAGTCTCTCAAAATAGAACAAACTTGAAACGCCCTTTCACTTTGTTTACGTCATCAAAATCCACGAATATCACAAGAATCCGTCCACGGATTTCCATTTTGATACCTTCACATGATAATATATTTCACAGGGAATACGTACCGCAGAAAACATCCTTGAAGATCTTCATGTTGTGGGATTAAGAGAAGAAATTGAGCAAGGAATAATTCCAGACACTCGTTCAACACAAGGTACGGGCGGAAAGGAAGGAGGAAACTGGAATTTCTCAGAACGTGAACTTTACGAACAGATGATACGTTCCGTTTAAGAACACGATTGATCATGTTTTGTTTTTAATGCAAACCATATCAATGTCGTCAAACCAGAGATAAATTTAGTATTCAGAATTAATCAGTGTAAATAATTTACTTTGTAATTCTTAAAAAAGCAGAAAAATTAGATTGAAAGTACAATGAGGAAAATTGTTCTGAGAAAATGCCAGTTTAAACCGGAAGTTTCGAAATATCTTTGAAACCGGTTTTAAACTCTGTACAATTCAGCTGAAAATATTTGTTTTGAAACGATTTTCAATGAACAATAAAAAGTTTCTAAATAAGTTATGTATTGAAATGATTAAATACCAAGTGTCAGATGACTGTAGGATTATTTTCTTCATTTTTCATAGTTTACAAGTCTTCATGATTTAAATACAATACCCAACCACATAAGCCAAGAAATGATTTTATCTAAAAAAAATCTTATTTCTATTTAAGTTTTCAATTTAGATATTCATTGATCGATTGATTAACGTTTATTTCTTCGTGCCTGTTTTTTAGGCTGGCACCTTAAATCTGATATTACATCATTATGATAAATATGCAAAGTGTCTCATATTACATTGATTACGCTGAGTATCCTCCCTTTTCTTTATACTCCCTCACCTCCTCCTTATCTTTTACCTGATTTATTATCATTCTTATGTTTAAAATAGGGGTTCCAAAAATCGTTCTCTAGGACGGACCCTACAAGTTTATAAAAGATTCTGTGCGTTCTGAAAGAATTAAAAGAGGTTCAATAATAATTACATAGTGATATTTTAAGACAATAGTTTCATATTTCAGATGTACTTCTATCTCTGAAGGAAAATGGCGTCAGTATCCAAGGTTGCTGTATCCCGGATAATCCAGGCCAGCAGTGACGAAGGTCCAGCGAAGAAGAGTCGGGATGAGTACAGGAAAGCGAAGGAGCTCGAAGAGGCTCGAAAACTTGGAACAGAACCCGCGGCAGTAGATGAAGAAGGTCGAGATATCAACCCTCACATACCTCAATATATCTCTGATGCTCCTTGGTACCTGGACCCTAAGGGACCAACCTTAAACCATCAAAGGACCCAGGAAGAGAAAGTTAAAGTCTACTCCGGAATAACGGAATGGTATCACAGAGGTGTAGATACTTCAAAAACCGCGACACGGTATAGAAAGGGAGCCTGTGAAAACTGTGGAGCAGTGACGCACAAGAAGAAGGATTGTTTGGAGCGTCCAAGGAAGGTTGGAGCCAGGTTTACTGGAGCTAACTTTGCTCCAGATGAGTTCCAGCAACCTACTCTGGATCAAACCTTTGATGCGAAAAGGGATCGATGGAATGGATTTAACAATCTGGATTATCAGGTAGGTTTCACCTGACCTGGGTTAAACATCAATTGGTGAAACCAACTTTTGTATTTTAGTCATTGTTTTTTTTTTGTTCAAAATGATATTTGTTATTTTTCATCTTAAAATAATACTGTATTTTAATACTCATTGATCATTGTATAGACAAATCCAAGCCTGCTGTAACAGGCTTTTTTAGTGCCAATAATTATGAATAAATTAAGTCAAAGAAAAAAGTTGTTAATTTTCTTTAATTTTTTTCATGGGTTTCTTTATAGAAAAAAATTATTAGAGGAACTTTTTTTTGAAAAATATCTAAAAGGATGAAAAAACTTTGTTTGTAAATTTTTCATTTTTAATTTTCAAAATTATGCACCATTGTAAAAGTACATTTAAACCTTTTACTCCAATTTCAAGCTAAATCCATAAATAAATATATATAAACAAACTGGAAAATGTTATAAACGAAAATAAGTTTAGTAATTATAAAGGTTGGTTTATTATTTATGTTCATGATTCAATGAATAGAGAGCATGATAAATTGTTCATTATGAATAACTGATACTATTTTTTTACATACGGGTAATTTGCAGGTGTTAAAAAATATTTGTTTTGGAATAATAACAAATTAAAGGTTGAAATTACATTTGTTTGGTGCAAATATTAAAAATCTTTTTTTGGGAAAGTGTTCGGTTTTTACCTGAAATGAATATTTTTAGGATGTTATGGTTGAATACAAAAAGCTAGAAGATGCCAAGAAAGAATTGAAAAAAGAAAAACTGTCTAAACCGAAACCCAACCCTGAAGAGGACGACGGAGACAAGAGCTCTGAGGAGGAGGACGACGAGGACAAGTATGTTGACGACATGGACATGGTGGGAACCAAGGTTGACGCCAGTGAGAGATACACCGTGAGAAACCTCCGGATCAGAGAGGACGTTGCCAAGTATTTGCGTAACCTGGATCCCAACTCTGCTCACTACGATCCTAAAACCAGATCTATGCGTAAAAATCCGTACGAAGGAACCGGAAAGGCGATGGACGAAGTGGATTACGCCGGAGACAACTTCGTCCGGATATCCGGGGACACCGTGAACCACGCCAAGAGCACCATGTTCGCCTGGGAGGCTGCGAGGAAAGGTTTGGATGTTCACATGCTCGCAGAACCGACCAAACTCGAGGCATTGAAATCCGAGTTTGAGACAAAGAAGGATCAGTTTAAGTCTGAGATGAACCAGGGGATCCTGGAGAAGTATGGAGGCGAGGAGTACCTTGAAGCTCCACCTAGGGAGCTCTTGTTCTCCCAGACAGAGGACTATGTGGAGTACTCCAGGCACGGGAAGGTTCTCAAGGGAGAGGAACAAACTATTGTCAGGTATTTAGACCCGTTTTTTACATCATTAATCTTACCCCCTCCTCCCCACTTTTTCATAAGTCATTTTTTAGGTATTCCTAAAACATAACTTATATAATCATTTTAAAGATCATAAAGTAAGGAAATTTTTTTCTTTGAAGAGAAAAATTTCAATGCATTTTTGATAATTCTTTGATTTTTTATCAATTAATATATTTCAGCCATTTTGCCTATGTTTAGTGAATCATATTAATCAAAACAATTAGCATTTTAATTATTTGGTTTAACAGTACTAAGAAGAGGATTCGCGGAACCCATTCCTCAAGACTAGACTAATCATGCGGAATAGAATTCAAATATATTTTTCAGCTAATAATGTATTACTCCCTAACCTGCCCAGGTACATATACAAGCCGTCGCGTTGGAAGGACTGAGAGCAGGGGTAGGGGGGGGGGGAGGGTGTCGGGATGTCCGAGAATTCTGCTTGTTAAAGGGACAGTAAAGGAAAAATGAAAGGGGGTATAGGCTATTGAAAATAGAAATAACAAATATAAAAGTAAATCTAATTTACAATTAGCTTTCTCTGGGATATCATCGTTTTCAGATTGGTTGCTTATTTGCTGAATATGATCTGTTTAAACCTACTACTTTTATACAAAATTGTATATATATTAATTTTCGTTTATATTTGACACAGTTTTATATCAATTTCTCGAGACAGGAACATCAGAGATGACTTTCATGGGTCGCGATCAAGAGCTAAAGTGATTAGCTTTCAGCCTATACCCCCTTTCATTTTTCCTTTACTGTCCCTTTAAATCCGTGTATTTTGTTAATTAAAAAATTGAATCTGAAATGAATGTGCTTGTTTAGATCCCAATATGAAGAGGATAATTTCCCCAACAATCACAAGAGTGTATTTGGTTCCTGGTGGAGCAATGGAGAATGGGGATTCAAATGTTGTCATTCAACTATTCTCAATTCTTACTGCACAGGTAAACTTTTAGCAGTACATAGACGTTAAACAGTGCACAGTACACTGTACTAACTGTACAGATAAACCTTAAACAGTACACAGCATGTGTTGCTCTACCCTCTTCACCCCCCCCCCGCATGATGTTTTTTTCATTTAATGGGGGGGGGGGAGAAAAAGTTATGTTTAGGGTTAAATATATTTTTTTAAATGTTCAATTACTCCGGTGGATTCTCATTTGAACTACTGCCGTTTGAACTATGGTACGTTTGAACTATTGTTCGTTTGAACTGTTGTTCATTTGAACTACTGACGTGACGTCATATCCTGTAGTTTAAATTAACACATTTCTTGCTCATTTGAACTATTTTCTACCCCAATTCCAGTTTTAAAATTATTTTTATAATTCCCATAAAGATAGTTCATGACAACTAATAAGATAACCATTACACAGAAATGTTTCAAATGAACATAAAAATAGATTAAATGAACATAAATATAGTTCAAATGAACATAAATATAGTTCAAATGAACATAATAATAGTTCAAATGAACATAAAAATAGTTAAAATGAACATAAAAATAGTTAAAATGAACAAAAAAATAGTTAAAATGAACATAAAAATAGTTAAAATGATCATAAAAATAGTTAAAATGAACATAAAAATGGTTAAAATGAAATAGTTTAAATGAAAAAAAATAGTTCAAATGAACATGAAAATAGTTCAAGTGAAATAGTTCAAATGAAAAACAAAATTGAAATGAACTTAAAATATAGTTTTAAATGAAAACAAAATAGTTCAAATGAAAAAAAAAATTTTTTTGTTCATTTCAACTATTTTTTTGTCCATTTGAACTATTTTATTGTCCATTTGAACTATTTTTTTTGTTCATTTCAGCTATTTTTGTGTTCATTTGAACTATATTTTGTTCATTTAACTATTTTTATGTCCATTTGGAACTATTTTTATGTCCATTTTAATTTTTTTTTGTCATCTTCATTTTAAATATTTTTTTCTCATTTGTACTATTTTTTTCTCATTTGAACTCTTTTTTTTATTTGAACTATTTCATTTGAACTATTTTTAAGTTCATTTGAACTATTTTTTTGTTCATTTAAACTATTTTTTTGTTCATTTGAACTATTTTTTTGTTCATTTGAACTAATTATTTGTTCATTTGAACTATTTTTTTGTTCATTTGAACTGTTTTTATGTCCATTTGAACTGTTTTATGTCCATTTAAACTATTTTTATGTCCATTTGAACTATTTTAATGTTCTTTGAACTATTTTATTGTTTATTTCATTTATAGTTCAAATGAAAATAGTTCAAATGAAATAAAAAATAGTTCAAATGAGTAATATATTTACTCGTTTGAACTAATATTCATTTCAACTACTCACGTGGTAACACATGCAGTAGTTGAAATGAACAATAGTTCAAATGAACAATAGTTCAAACGGGAGTAGTTCAAATGAGATAGCATCATTACTCCCCCCCCCCCCCCCCCCCCTCCTCATAGGCGAGTTGTGTGTTGTCACGGGGGGGGGGGGGGGGGGGGGGCTCTTTAAAATATACAGTCCTGATACATTGTCTGAGTACACTGTACAGTCATTCAAAGATTATAGGAACTCAATTATCCGTTTTGCTACACAACTATCAACCATACGTACAATTTACAGTGAATATTGCAAGTGCACACTGCTTCACTTATATTTATTTTCCGGCAAACATTTTCTTATATCATAATTCTTTCGCCTTAATTACTGATAATTAATAATTATTTTGCCACCTCAGTTTTCTAAAACATATTGCTGTCAGGTTTTAGCTGTTCATTTTTTTAAATTATGTATTGTAGGAGCTGCTGGTAGATCAGTAGACAGTGCTACCCTCACACTCCCACCGAAAGCAGAGAAAGAGGAATCTTCAGATTCCGAAGCGGAACTAGAGCTGCATAGCAAAACTGAAAAGAACTCCAAGAAAAAGAAGAAAAAGAAGAAGAGGAGCAAGAAGAAGAAGAATAAGAAGAAGGACTCGTCCAGTGATGGTTCGTCCTCCAGTGATTCGGACGAGGACGAGGAGAAGGAGAAGAAGAAGAAGCTGAAGGACGCCATGAAGAAGCTGGAGGCGGAGCAGGCGGAGGCGGAGAGGATGCTTAAGACGGATGAGAGGAAAAGACCGTATAATAGTATGGGAGAGGCGAAAGCTCCGACGGAGGAGGATTTGGAGGCGTACTACCTGAAGCGGCAGCGGAGTGATGATCCCATGGCGAACTTTCTTTAAAATTTTGTTAAAATTATTAAAATTTAGATTCCTGCTGTATTCAATTAATACAATTAAAACCATTCATTTCTATAATTATTGTGATGAAGAAATAAATTCAGCTGTAAACGATTTCAGATTTTCAATGAGATAAAAATGATGAATATGATGGAAGACTCCCAGCATGAAGTAGGACTAGGAGGAGTTAAATCTGAACCTATCGAGGTTGATCATCAAGTGGAGGATACGGTTGGAGTTAGCACAGAGACTATCAAGGTACAAACTGGGACGAATCCCGTGATATTTTGATTTGTGTTAGTTTACAGTGCTTAGATCTTTCGTATTTTTAAGAATCGGTTGAATTCGTAATAACGTTTATATGGAACAACTCCATAGTTCATATAATTCTAAAGTGCATTAAAAAAAAAAAAACATTCAATTGTACAAATCAAAATCAACCGATTGCTAGGAAATGAAAATAAATGTTAAAATTATTAATGACTGCAACCATGAATACCAAATCAATCAATCGATCTATTAAACCATGAGAATTCCAGGCTTATTTATAACTTTATTTATTTCACCTGCTTTGGCAAGCAAAAAGATTAAATTAAAAAATTTCGTCATGGAAGGAAGAAATGTATTACGAGTATTATAATCTACAAATATCCTAACAAAAATAATTAAAATAAATTATTTTTTATTGTTTATTGTTGACTTGAGAGTTGCTAAATGTTCTGTCTGGGTTTTGTTTGTTTTGCATATCACTTTAAGCAGCAAACGGATCTTTCTATGTTCGTCGTAATTTCTTTTTAAAAAGAAGAACAAAGCTTACAAATAAAAAAATGTGGTTGATTCTAACTTAAGGAGAGAAAATTTAAAATATTCGCGAAATGATGTTTTTTTTCTAAAGACTTATATGAAAATTCAAAACACAATTTGTTTAAGTATTGAATGAGAGACTAATATGATAACTTACGGATATCGGGGGGCGGAAGGCTTGTTAAAGGTCCGGTATTGGGACAGTGCTTCCCAATCCTTGCGGGGGTCTGGGGGGTCAACATTGGGGTCTCTTACAGATTCCTTTTCCTTATGTTCCTTATTGTAAAAATAGGGATAATTTAACTGTAACGAAAGAAAGCAAAAACTATATTTAAAAAAGAATGTTTACTCAGTTACATTAAAGAATTGATTGAACTATTTTCTTTTTTTTTTTTATTTACAACTTTTACATAATTTAATTGTTTAGATAATAGCAGATACACTTGGTATGCCTGGCCTGCCTGAGGATGCATGCCGGGAGGTAATATTAAAATAAACAGGCGTTATGGTCCCTCTTTTTCTTAATAAATTAACTGCAAAATTAACAACAAAAACATCTTTCGCAGATTTGCATGACATTTAAAAGATTCAGTTTAAAAAACTGTCTTAAGACATTATTAAACCTTATAAGGATTTAATGGGGTCCGATCGGTTCGGCCGTTTTGACGATTATTTTATTTTTTAGTTGAGTGAAGAGGTGACCTACAGGCTACGAATGCTGACGCAGAACGCGCAGAAGTTTATGAACCACGGACGCAGAACCAAGTGCGTATTTGCGTAATATTTATATCTGCCAAGGAAATGATAACTTGCCACAGACTCGAATTTTTAAATCTCTATGTCTTAGCAATTTGATGGTGTAAACCTTTATTATGAAAACTGGAGTGGAGAGATTGGCATAGCTATTCTCAAATGAAGTATTGTGTAAATTAAAACCGGCTGACATGACACAATTCCGTCTGCAAAAATAATATTTTTAGAATGTTTTGTGATGATATTGATCATGCACTTAAACTTCAAGGACAAGAACCTCTTTATGGATTTCAGGTGAGATCGTTTGATCAATAGATCATTATTTAATCACTAGATCAATAGATTGTTAAATCGATAGAATACTAGATTGATAGATTACTATAAAGATCATTAGATTTTTAGATAATTAGGTCGATAGATCTGTGGATCACTTTACCGTCAGTAGGCAAAAAGATCAGTATAAAACTATATATTTAGAATTAAGATTATTAGATCGTTAGATCGTTAGATTGGTAGATTTTTAGATTTAAAGATCTCCAGACAAATAATAAATCTATCATTAAATTTCTAGATTTAAGATCATTAGATCTAAACAAAATCGGATCTCTTTATTGGTAATTCCCTTGATCGTTGTATCATTAGATCACGTAATTGATCGTAGATAAATAAAAAAAAAAATATTCAAGGACGTTTATTTTTCAGAATTGGGGGAAACTTTTGTCATGATTTGGAAAAAATTTGATAATTTTTCCAAAAATTCATCGGATTTTTCCCTAAAAATAACTTTTCCATCAACTCAGAGAATAAAACCCTAACAAATTAAGTTTTTTTTCTGTGGAAAAAATGATTTTCAGATGGAGGGGGGGGGGGGAAAGAAAAATTATTTATTCGAGAAAATACACAAATAATTAATACAAAATATATTTTAGGCGCAAGAGCACATACCTTTCCGGTTTTCCAGCGGGGGAGGTCGTGACCTCCATTTTCTGGAGGACAAGGAGATCGACCTCAACGAGCTTGTAAACAACCAACTTCCTAAAATTCCAATGGTAATTTCCATCACAGCTTAATTCTTCTAATTTAAAACTTTTAAAGTCGTAATTTCTATTGTACCTTGATTTATAAAGGGCCAGGCCTGACCCACAATAGTAACTTTTCATCTTCTACCTGATCACTAATATTAAAGATATATTCGTATTTTATTCTCACAATTTCCTCCATTGTAGCTGTTGCAAGAAATCCATAAAAAAATAACCCAATTTTTGGTAGATACCATAAATATCTTTTTCGTTCTTGATCAGAGCAAGCTTTTTTCCTTTGTAAATCCTAACATGCTTCTCTTAAACTGGAGAGTTACTTGAAATCACATATATCTACACTCGTCAGACCCTTTAAAAACTGAAAAATTGATATTGCAAATTCACTAAAAAGATATTATAGCAAAAAATCGAATGATTAAAACAAAGCTTTTGTAGTCTTAATTTTTTTGTATTGATCATCCTTTCAGAAAACACACGTGATTCAACGGATTAAGTTTATTCCATTTAAATATTTCGAGTTTTTACCTAATGAAAGATTCGTCTGCTAGAAATATTGACTAATCAGCAGCTTCAAAACTTTGTTGTTGGGGAAACTTCAATTTAGTTGTATTTCCCAGATTCGAACTTAATCGCTTAAAGGAACAAGGGTACCGTTGTGAATCGGGCATTGCCATCTTCAAACGGAGGGTCGCTTGAAATTGATCAAAAGTTTTGACATTAAAACATATTATCTAGGCGCCTAGTCTCCGAGCTCATTGGTTAGCCATTGATGGAATCCAACCTGCGATCCCAGAAAATCCTCCACCACAGAGTAAAGATCAGCTGATCACGGACTCCGTCGATCCTGCCGCCAAACTCAAGAGCGGAGACGCCAAGGATAATAAACTAGGAGCTGTCCTAGGGCAGGTTGGTACTAGATCAGATAAGGGGTATATATATTTTTTAGAATGACCCCCCTCCCTGTGGGAATGAATTTTGAAGATTGGGGGGGGGGGGGATGATAAGCGTAGGTTTTCATACTTTTTTGATTCTTTTACCCAAAACGGTTTTTATTTTCCCCAATTAAGCCAGAAGATTCCTTTGAATTTTGAACTTGAAAAGGGAGGAAATTATTTTTCAAGACAATGTGCAGTGTACACCCCTGGATCATATTATACTACTCATCTTATTTAATGGCATTTATCTAATTTTATTCAGGATAACTAAATCTTTTATTTCGTTGTTTCATTTACTTGATCGATATTTATTTTTGCAGATTTGAAACAAAGAAAAGGGCATATTTGGTCAAAAACATTTTCCCCGAAAACAGCAACATTACAGATTTGATGTATCTACGTTCAATTTCCGCAAACACTCCCTTTAATGACAATTGAACCGTGATATTATTTGTATTTGAAGGCTAAGATGAAGACTGTAGAGACGGTGAACGTGAAGCAGTTGGCCAGCCATGAACTCAGTGTAGAACAACAGCTTTACTTCAAGGAGATTACCGAGGTTAGTTTAAACATTTATAAGTAATCTCCGTTCAATCTTTTATGTTTAAATTCAAGGGACCATTCATTGAATAAAATGGCGTGTTCGATTCTCAAGAGTGACCTTAAAGAGAGTATTCGCGAAAAATGAAGGGGGTATAGGCTTACGTCGAAAAATATTCGATGGTAATTGCTACTAATCTTACTTCTATCTGCATGTTGCGGAGATATATAAGGTGAGTATTGTTAAAAAACGACTCAAACCGAAGAACGTTGCGTCCTTACAAATTCAGAAAGTTGTAATATTCGGGATCGTTAAAAAATCAATTTGATTCCAAACAAATCATTCAGATTTTAAAACCTATAATCATTGTCATTTCATACTATTTTTTTTATTTTTATGATCCGAGAGTTAATTTTGAAAACATAATTCCTTTTCGAGGATTTTTTTAATGAAGACGACATTTTCATATTTTCAAGAATGTTCGAAAATCCATCGCCAGCCGTGAAATCATTAATCAAGTTATGCTTATACTGATCATTTTATAATGTCTAAATGTTCTTTTCTGTTTTTCTCTATAAACAGAATTTAACAAGAATTTTTATTAAAATTATTTTTTATCATGAACTACATAAACATTTTCTGATATATAAATAGTTTACTCTATGCGAACCCTATGATTTTGTTTTACTGTTAATTTTTCGTTTTATCGCATAGAACCAATAAAGATTTATATAATTAATCAAGTTGAAAGCGAAACATCAATTTAAAAAAAAATCTGAAATATTATGAAATATCAACTTTATACGAATGCGTCGAAAAAAATCGTTGATTACAGGTTGTAATTTCTGAATGATTTGTCTGGAATTCGATTGATTTTTTTCCGATCCGAGTCATATATTGGAACTTTCTGCAATTGTATAGACGCTATGTTCTTCAGTATGAGTCGTTCTGAACATTTTTCTCTTTATAGACGCAACAGAGAGAAGTAAGATTAGTTGCAATCACCATCGAATATTTTTCGACGTAAGCCAATATCCCCTTTCATTTCTTGCAAACACTCCCTTTAAAAGCGTTTTGAATGATCAAGAATCCATGTTTAACTTAGAAAATTGTATATTTTCTATTGGGGGTTCTCTTAAATATTGATTATTTTTTGTCGTGTTGTGAATCGGACATGCTCTTTTTAATCTAGGGTACCTTGAAATTAGAAGAATTTTTAGTTTTTCTGTACAGTTTAAGGGGTTAATCAAAGCTGCACTACATGGTGGGGGGGGGGGGATTATATTTCTAAAATATAAATAAATATCCCTGAAACATTTATTTTATTTTTTGTTTGTTTGAACAATATTTTAATCTTTCCTCTGGTAGGCCTGTGTTGGATCTGACGAACCCCGACGCGCCGAGGCGTTACAGTCTCTTGCCTGTGATCCTGGTTTACATCAGATGCTACCAAGGTTCATATTTTTTATATTTTGAAAAAAAAATGTTCTTGGGCAGGGGCAAGGGGGGGGAATATTGATTTATCTTCTTACTCCTTTATCATTTGCGACATAGCGTACAACCAATGAAACGTCAGTGTTTAACCTCATGCGATTGCGATACTTCCCCCTCCCCCCCCCCAAAAAAAAAAAATAATTGTAAAAGTCTATTCGAGGAGGGGGGGTTATTTCAAGTAAACATAAACCAATAATGCAACATCACTTTTTACTGTTTAGATTAGCTACGTTTATCGCTGAGGGTGTTCGAGTGAACGTTGTACAGCATAACCTCGCTATCCTGATCTACCTTATGCGTATGGTGAAATCATTACTAGAGAACCAAACATTGTACCTGGAGAAGTAAGAAGAGTTTTGTTTTAAGGGAACGTACACCTACTTCCAAGTAACCCTTGATTAAAGAGTTTTGTTTAAAGGGAATGTAAACATAATTACAGTTACCCCTGATTAATGAGTTCTGTTTAAAGGGACCGTAAACATAATTACAAGTTACCCCTGATTAAAGAGTTTTGTTTAAAGGGACCGTAAACATAATTACAAGTTAACCCTGATTAAAGAGTTTTGTTTAAAGGGAATGTAAACATAATTACAAGTTACCCCTGATTAAAGAGTTTGATTTAAAGGGAAGGTAAACATAATTACAAGTAGATTAAAGAGTTTTGTTTAAAGGGACCGTAAACATAATTTAAGTTACCCCTGATTAAAGAGTTTTATTTAAAGGGAACGTAAACATAATTACAAGTTACCTCTGATTAAAGAGTTCTGTTTAAAGGGACCGTAAACATAATTACAAGTTACCCCTGATTAAAGAGTTCTGTTTAAGGGGACCGTAAACATAATTACAAGTTACCCCTGATAAAAGAGTTCTGTTTAAAGAGACCGTAAACAAAATTAAAAGTTACCCCTGATTAAAGAGTTCTGTTTAAAGGGACCGTAAACATAATTACAAGTTACCCCTGATTAAAGAGTTCTGTTTAAAGGGACCGTAAACATAATTACAACTTACCCCTGATTAGAGAGTTTTGTTTAAAGGGACCGTAAACATAATTACAAGTTACCCCTGATTAAAGAGTTCTGTTTAAAGGGACCGTAAACATAATTACAAGTTACCCCTGATTAGAGAGTTTTGTTTAAAGGGACCGTAATTGATTAAAAAAATCGGAGTGAAAATTGTTTCTTAGAATTATATTTTCTCTGGGTACCCTCATGAACTATATCTCTAGGTACCTTCATGAACTGATACCTGCTGTAGCAACCTGTATAGTTTCTAGACAGCTCTGTTCTAGACCAGACCATGATAATCATTGGGCGCTCAGGTATACACATACAGCCACATATGAATCTGGATTAGGAAGACGACTGGTAAAATCAAGTTATGATCTTTAAATAGTCCAGTTAATATGAAATCTGGAGTTGTGCAGTGTACACATACCTATTTTATTTAATAATTGATTTTCAAGCTACTGGTAAAACTATTTGTTTTTTACATTATCAATTAAATACAAATAAGATTGCTTAATTGTCGTCTTTCTATTCCACAGTTTTTGGATCCCACTGTAGGGTTTCCTGTACCTCTTTCTTTTAAAACCTCACTTTTCTGATCATGAGGCTCCATTTTACATACTGTAGGTTCAATTTAATACTTTCAGTTCAGTTTAATAATTTGATAGTTTTGTTATTTTGAGTTAATAAATAACCAAAAAACAATGATAAAACTAATTAAGTGTAAAAAAATATTTTTTTTCAGAGATTTCGCGAGCAGAATGATGGCAGCCATTTGCAAAAATTTTCATACTTCAACGAACAATATTCAAACTAGGAAATTTTTCTCAATCTATCATCACTCCTTTTTAATGTTCGTCCATGATGTTGGGCACTATTTTTAACCTGGTTTTTTTACATTCAAGGATATTAAAATTTTAAAAACAAACATTATGTCCTTACATATTTTAAAATATTAATTCTCTGCAATTTTGTAAAATTTTGACTGACAGAAGATATAGGTGTACGAAAAATTAAACAATCGTTTGTCTCGATTTCATGTCTTTCGTCAGAGTCAACATTTTGTACAGCTAAAAAGGGGTTGATTTTTGTGATGGGTGGGGGGGGGGTTTGTAAAATTGGACATCATAAAGCAAGTTTTTTCTTAATTTTGAAACTTTTTTCGAAAAATATTTAAAAATAAGGACGAAAAAAGTGATTTTTCGAGAAATTATATTCACCTCTGGTAAAAAAAAGTTTAAATATTATACAACTTTTAAGTATGTTAAACAATCTTAGATTATTTAAGGAGCCTGTTGAGTGTTGACAGCCCCAAAAACCTTTGAATGTTTAAAAAATGATATCCCCGGTTCAAAATTGAGAATTATTGTTTGGTCAGGGTTACCAAGATGTTTAGTGACGCGCTCAAATCTGAGCGCGCACCCCTTGTATCCTACTACGGAGCTATTGCTGGTCTTCAGGAAACATAATTATCCAGAGACTGAGAGAATCATTAAAAAAAATAAACTTTAATTAAATGCTGGATTCCAAAATATCTATAGAACTATTATTCTTCAAAAATAAACTTTAATTTAATATTTAATTCCAAATTATCTATAGAACTATTATTCTTCAAAAATAAACTTTAATGTAATATTTCAATTCCAAATTATCTAGAGAACTATTATTCTTCAAAAATAAACTTTAATATAAAGTTTGAATTCCAAATTATCTAGATAACTATTATTCTTTAAAAATAAACCTTCATGTAATATTTGAATTCCAAATTATCTAGAGAACTATTATTCTTTAAAAATAAACCTTCATGTAATATTTCATTTCCATATTATCTAGAGAACTATTATTCTTAAAAAATAAATTAATTTAATATTTGAAATCCATATTATCTAGAGAACTATTATTCTTTAAAAATAAACTTTAATATAATATTTCAATTCCATATTATCTAGAGAACTATTATTCTTTAAGAATAAACTTTAATGTAATGTTTGAATTCCAAATTATCTAGAGAACTATTATTCTTCAAAAATAAACTTTAATGTAATATTTCAATTCCAAATTATCTAGAGAACTATTATTCTTTAAAAATAAACTTAATGTAATGTTTAAATTCCAAACTTTCCGGAGAATAATCATTTAACAAAACTTCAAATAATTAATATTATTTATACTCCCACCAATGACAGTGCCGTATACTGGTTACGGGATAATGATACTGCACTGCCATTGGTGGGAGTTCTGGTCAAATGATACGGACGTATTTAAAGCTATTGACCCCCCCCCCCATTCAAAGAAAAAAGTTTAATTATGGTACCTGGACTAGGAGTTGGGACCCGACGTGATCAAGGTCTTCATCCTCCCTTACATCAGCATCCTCGCAGCTAAAATCGACGCTGCCCTGGACTCCAACAACAGCAACCTTGCCACCTCCAGTGTAGAGAAGATCGCTGCTCAGAATATTAGGTTGGTATAGTTCATCAGGGGTGTATATTTTCTTAGAATTACCCCCTGGGGGGGGGGGAGATTTTTGAAGAGGGGGGGTGCGGCAAGTTTTTTCATCTTATTTTAAACTTTTTACTCAAAAATCTGTTAATTTTTCCCAATTCAGCGTATAAAACCGTACTATTACGTCTGGAGGGTGATTGTCCATACACCCCTGTTATATATTGCATATTAAAAAAACCCCAACAACATTTTGTAAAGTAAATCGAAGAAACGAAAACATTTCGAAATTACGACCCTGTCTTTTATGTCTCAGACCGTGCCTTACCAACGAACGTATTAACAAGAACCGCAGATATCGTATCTGATAGATAGATAATAAGGAGGCACATACGGAGACGTAATAAGGTCGACAATTATGGTGTTGAAAAGAAATGTCCTCTGATGTGATATTGTTTACAATTTCGCCAATTTCTAAAATCTGGGAATTTTAATCTTTCTGGAATTTAAAGTTCTATTTAATAATATCTTAGGAACTCAGCGTTGCCCAGGGTACGCATAGTTACTCCCGCCGTTTACCCGTGCTTGGGCTTAAATTACGATTTTAGCTATTACACAACCACTCAACTTAGAATCGCTAAATTAAGCTAAGAACATTACCGTGGTTTTCCCGAGTTTCCGATTTAAAATTTGAGACAAATTGGTCTAGGGGTTCATGAGTTATGATCAAAGATACAAACAGAGATTACAACTTTATATGTATACTATATAGTTGACAATTTCATTCTAGAACTCTATTGGTGAAGTCCGTAAGTCCAGTGTTAAAAAGTTTACGTGACCCCCCGGACTATATTGAGGACTACAGGCTCGAGTTCGGGTCCCTGGGACAACCTCTGCATACAGGTAGTTATATGCCTTCATGTAGTTAGTTTTTGGGTCGTTTCTTGTCGGTGTAAGAAGAGTAAATATATTTTAAATTGGATATTCTTAACATTTGTTATTAATTACATAATGTCAAATTTGGCAAGGTGTAAGTAAAGCAAATTTATTTTAAGTTGTTTATTCTAAACATTTGTTATAATTACATTATGTCAAATTTGGCATGGTGTAAGTAAAGCAAATATATTTTAAGTTGTTTATTCTAAACAGTGGTTATAATTACATTATGTCAAATTTAGCATGGTGTAAGAAAAACAAATATATTTTAAGTTGTTTATTCTAATCATTTGTTATACATTATGCCAAATTTAGCATGGTGTAAGAAAAGCAAATATATTTTAAATTGTTTATTCTAAACATTTGTTATAATTACATTATGTCAAATTTAGCATGGTGTAAGTAAAGCAAATATATTTTAAGTTGTTTATTCTAAATATTTGTTATAATTACATTATGTCAAATTTAGCATGGTGTAAGAAAATCAAATAATTTTAAATTGTCAAATTGTCAAATTGTCAAATTTTGACCCTCGCAGGAGAAATATGCAAAAACCACCCAAAAGGACCCAAAAACGATGCAAGAACGATGCAAAAATGAACGTGTCATAGCGATGGTTTTCGGATCGTTTTTAGACTTTTTCTTTTTTGGAAAAAAGATATTGCAAAGTTTCATAAAAGCAAACTTTAACATAATACAGCTTTTAAATCTTTAAAGTTAATTAAATTTTTTTAACTATCCTAAACAATTAACAACCCTACATACAGGGGTAGAACGAGCTCGAAAACAATCTGGGAATAAATCTAGCGGATTGGCCAGTACACCTGCCCGCCTACCTAGCCTAACCACGCCCACTGCCCGCCCACCTCAACCCTCAAATGCAAGCCAACAAAAGGTAATTATATTTTAAACAAGTCATATATAAAGATATAAACAGACGCGTTTTTGGTATAAAAAATATTCCCAAAGGAACATCTTTGTTTTATTTCCATGCATTGTCTAGAACATTGTAGCTCCCTGGATCCTAATCCAGTGGATCTGCAACATATTAGCTCCCTGGATCCTAATCCAGTGGATCTGCAACATATTAGCTCCCTGGATCCAATCCAGTGGATCTGCATCATATTAGCTCCCTGGATCCTAATCCAGTGGATCTGCAACATTGTAGCTTCCTGGATCCTAATCCAGTGGATCTACAACATTGTAGCTTCCTGCATTCTAATCCTGTTGGATCCGCAAAATTTTAGATTTGACTTGACTTTACTTAATATGATTTGATCTGATTTGATTTTATCTGATTTAATCTGATTTGATCTGATTTGATCTGATTTGATCTGATTTGATCTGATTTGAGCTGATTTGAGCTGATTTGAGCTGATTTATCCAGGTGTTTATTGTAAACCAACAGCAACAGCAAGGACAGCCAAGTCAACAACTACAACAAGTTCAGCAACTTCAAGTTCAACAGCTACAAGGAATTCAGTCCCCTCAGGTTTACTTCTGATTTTGAATCAANAGTTCTCCAGGGGGGGGGAGTTCAGTCCATCTAGATAAACTTCTGAATCCACTTCTTGGGGAATCAGTCCCATCAGGTTTCTTGTGAATGAACTTAACGTATTGCCAGTTGGAATCTAATTTTTCATTCAATCTCTTTTTTCATGAAAATATACACCCTTGAATTAAAAAAATCAATTTAGGTAATTTTCTAAAATTTTTATTTGTCCTTAGGTTAGAACGGTTGTACTCCAGGACGGAAACCAGACTCCGCATAGACCTAACCCAACCCAGCAGATCGGAGTCAGATCCGTCTTCCAACAAAACCCATTCCCTTGAAGTACTTGAGTTAAACCTGGAGTACTAAGGTTTAATTGTACATATACTTGTACATAGATTATAATATTATAGTGTAGATCTAAGAAGAGGAATTCAAGTTTGTCTACATTTTATTGTGAGGTATTAGGACAGCTCAGGAATTGGTGTTTGTAAAAACAATAAAAAAATATAGTAAATAATGCTTCGTTTTATATACTGAAACTGAGCAATTGTTGATTACAAAATGTTGTTTACATTAAACTAGTTTTAAAGCTGTCTTAATACGTCAAAGTTGAAAAGTGACAAACCTTATCCCCCTTTCCTTAGTTCTAAACCTCCTTGGATTTAATTAATTGTACGATACATTGTAACTTGGTATAGTAAATAATGCATAAAATATCAAGGCCTTATTCTCAATATTGACAGGGGTGTATATTTTCCTAAAAAATCATTTCCCCTAATTTTTAAAGCACCACACAAATCCATTCGATACACATAGGAGCCTTCTGAAATGATGCAGTATTTTTAATATTATATATAATACATGTTTTATGTTAACATTATTATTTATTTGTGTTATTTCGTAATAATGATCGTAGCTGAAAATATTTAATAATTCTGATTTGTTTTTGTGTTATGTAAAGAATTTTATTTTGTCGAAAAAATATTATGTTTGACATGATGCGAGATTCAGGGGAAAAATATTATGTTTGACATGATGCGAGATTCAGGGGGAAAATATTATGTTTGACATGATCCAAGATTCAGGGGAAAAATATTATGTTTGACATGATGCGAGATTCAGGGGAAAAATATTATGTTTGACATGATGCGAGTTTCAGGGGGAAAATCTTATGTTTGACATGATGCGAGATTAAGTGGGAAAATATTATGTTTGACATGATGCGAGATTCAGGGGAAAATATTATGTTTGACATGATGCGAGATTCAGGGGGAAACTATTATGTTTGACATGATGCGAGATTCAAGGGGAAATTATCATGTTTGACATGATGCAAGATTCAGGGGAAAAATATTATGTTTGACGTGATGCGAGATTCAAGGGAAAATTATCATGTTTGACATGATGCAAGATTCAGGGGAAAATTATCATGTTTGACATGATGCAAGATTCAGGGGAAAAATATTATGTTTGACATGATGCAAGATTCAGGGAAAAAATATTATGTTTGACATGATGCGAGATTCAGGGGAAAAATATCTTTTGACATGATGCAAGATTAAGGCAGGGGCGGATACAGGGGGGGCGGGGGGACATTCGCTCATTCCCCGACATACTCAGGGAGGGGCGTAGCCCCCCCCCCCTGAATTTGGAATTTTTTGTTACTTATTTTCAGAATAGCTTCTCAATAGCATGCTTAAGGGAAAGAAACCCTAGTGCAAAACAGGAAAATTATCTGTCTTAATAAACTATAATGTGTGAAAAGTTAAAAATCTAGTTTTTTAGTTTTTAGTCATTAATTTTGACTCTTTTTGAGTCTTTAAGTCAAAAAAATTGGATTCAGGGGACAAAACACATATAAAGAAATAATGTTCTCCTAAAGGGGGGAGGGGTCAATAATTGTTCAAGAACATAATTCCCATTGGAGAGATTTGCAAGATTTTAACGCAAGGCTAAATTAAAAGTTGGTTAAGGTGAAATCTATAAGGCGGCTTTATTTGGCTTTCGTAAATATTTAGGTTTAAACAAGATTTAATGTTGGTTGATGATGACTTATTAGGTCTTGTGTAGAATCATAAGTTAATAAAAAATCTCAAAAACTTAATTCCCGATAAAGTTGGCCGATCTTCCTGGTAAATCCTTGCTGATGGTAAATAAATATAGTTATTACACAGAATTTTCAATAGTACTGTTGAGGAATTGTTAATGTTCAAGAATCATTGAAGTAATTTTCGTGTTCACAATTATATTTTAAGTTCGAAAAGACGCTTACCAACCATTTGCTGAAGTTGTATGGTGTATATCTATTCTAGGAATATTTTGATATTTGCCGCCTGTAGAACAATTTGTTGAAAAGGATTTGATTAAAAATATATTTCTTTTTCAGATGCGATTAAAAATCGGAACCTACAATGTACACGGCTGGGTGGATAAGGATCATATTGAAAACCTAGACAGGGTGAGGGATTAAAAATTAAGAGTGTTTCAAAAAAAGTCCTGACTCAGTTCTCAGTAAAGGAGCACGAACTCTGATTTTCTAATCATATATTTGCACCCAATGTCGTAGTCCTTGGATATTTCAATTGTAAAGTCTGTTATAAAAGGTTTATACCATCAGTTCTCAAAGAGATAGGGATTAGATCAGAGGGGATGATAGTTCTCTACCTGTGTGCTCAGTTAGCTGTACTGTACACTTACAACTGTTCTAATATTGATATACTATGGGTTAGGCCAGAAACTCCTTATAATAAACAAATATGCAGTACGCTCTTGTTATTGTTGATGGCCTATACAATTTGTAAAGGATTAGCGTACATCAGCACTCTATACACTATAACCTCGTTGGATTAGATAGTGGTGAGTTAGTGGTAAAGACTCGATTTCTTTGGACATCGCTTTGGCACGTTTTAGTTATTGCTGAAGAGGTTTCACAAAAAATTATTTTCCTAAAAGTTTTTTTTTCTAAACTTTGAACTTCCAAGATTGAAAAAATGTCTTCTGTTAAAGTTTGCTTTGATTAAACTTAGCAATATTTTTTCCCAAAAAAACGATCTTAGGCACGATGATCATCTCCTGAAGATATTTCTTGAATATTCTTAACACTGTCTAAGTGACCATATCTGTCTCTACGTCTCTGTGGCATCATTTTTTTTCTTAATAATAACTATTTACCTCTTTCTCCTCAACTCAACCTAATGCCTAGCAAAGAAAATTTACGATGTATAAAGTTTTTTTTGTTAGGTGGGGTGTTCAGTCTAAAGGTGTCTTTAGGAAGAAAAAATCCTTAATTTAATTCAAATACAATTTCATTTCAGGTAAAAGAAGTGATTTTAAAACATGATCCAGATATTCTTTGTATGCAGGTAAACGTTAGATACTTCAGGTATAATCTTCTTCTATATATACATATACTTTGCTTCTCTGTCTGTCTGTCCGTTTACATCCAATAAAGGTCAAAACGGCTGAACCGATCGGGCCCAAATTTTGTTTGGGTCCTCACGTGGCCCCAGGAAAGAATTAAAAAATTAAGAATTAAAAAACTTTGAAAATCAAAAAAAAAATTCATGAAATCCGCGAACTTTTCTTTTGTTTTGTTCTACAGTAACATTTTCATAATTGAAATAGAACATGGGCACGAAGCGCCCTTAAAGCCTAGTTATATATACTTTGCCTGTCTGTTTGTCTGTCCGTGTGTATCTGTTTATCTGTTTATCTGTTTATCTGTTTATCTGTTTATCTGTTTATCTGTTTATCTATAAGGAGGTTGAATCCTACGGTGAAAAGAATAATCTGGCTGAGTTCTCTAATTCTACCAATTTTGTTCACGTGGTTTCGTGGGGAGGATGTGCAGTACTTGCTAAACAGGAATTTTTTACCGATTTATTTTACAAACTAGTCGAAATCTTTGCTCTTGATAGAAAATCACAGAAGCCGAAAAATTTGTTATTTGTCAGTATTTTTTTCGGCCTGTTTTCTTCCATTTTCCATTTTTGTTTCATTCTTAGTTTGTTGTGGAAGAAAAAATATACACCCCTCCACTAGACTTAATGTTATAATAATTAAATCAACCTAAAATATACACCCCTCCACTAGACTCAATGTTATAATAATTAAATCAACCTAAAATATACACCCCTCCACTATACTCAATGTTATAATAATTAAATCAACCAAAAATATACACCCCTCCACTAGACTCAATGTTATGATAATTAAATCAACCAAAAATATACACCCCTCCACTAGACTCAATTAAATCAATTAAATCAACCAAAAATATCAGAATTTAGTTCTGGAAGAGGTTGGGCAAAATGATGACTTGACACAAAAAGGTGAGAACAGTTAAAACAATGTGATGATGTTTAAGAATTGAATTTATTCTCCCCACCCCCTACTTTCCTGCCGCAGCGCTCGGCCAAGAAATGATCTTAATTTAAACCCTTGTCGGCTAGAATGGTACAAAAGGTAAAGAAGGGGGCCAGGAATTGTTTTATAAAACTACTTCAAATGACATTTTAGCTCCAAAGTGGCCAAGTTTTCAACCAAAACACTTTTTCTTGAAACACACTTTTTTTGTAAACCAATGAAATATTATATATCATCATATTTAATACCATGTTTCAATCTTGATTGGTTAGTTAACTTTTAGTTTAAAATTTGAGAAGCAGCGCGTCCCTTAAACTAAGATTGATTGATTGATAGATTGGTTGATTGATTGATTGATTGATTTATTGACGGTTTGATTGCTTGATTGATACCTGGTTTTCAGGAGGAAAATATCATTGTTTACTGAGCCCAGCACATGAATGTGGATATCATTATGACCGGCCTAGATATACAGCTGTTAAGGTCAGTTAATTTTAATTAAGGATTAAAATTCTCTTAAGTAAATAAAGAAAACTGAGGCCAAATTAAAAGAATTTGGAGTCGCTTCTCAAATAATATGAGGCGGGGTTCAAACATGGTTGGTTCCACATAACATTGTATTCAGTGTCTCGAGATTGAGCCGGCGGCGCTCAATTGGAAACGTTTTTTGGCGGTTCAGTGTCGCGGTTTAAATTTTGTAATTCATATCTTCCCCTGTACGAAAAACCCACACTTTACCGCTTTAAGAATTATTATTTTTAATTTGTGTTATTTTTGACAACTTTTTTTAGTAAAAAAATCATTTCCAAAGGAATTAAGTTATTGCGACTAACTCGCATTTTTTAACCCCTATATCTTTGCAACCTGATGATCTAAAACTTTGATATTTCAAACTTAGACTATTTGATCGAACATAATTAATAGTTTGAAATATCGAAGGTTTAGGAAAACGGGTTGCAAAGTTACAGGAATTAGATAATCAGAGTTTGTGGCAAAAACTCAATTATTATTTTAGGTTAAACGTTGTGCTGAGTCTGATGTCCTGTTCTACTTATCCTGTATCCATCTATCTCCGAAGTACTCTAACCTAAGGGTGGAGGAGGTTCAGAGAATATTTGCAGATCTTAATCCTGTCTTCACATCACAGTCCTCTCAGCTTTGGATCGGTAAACCCACACATCCGATTGTAAAAAATCATTTTTTTAGAATTTAGGAAATGATGTAAGACATTAGTAAAAAATCTAAAATTGGATGTCTTACTTAATAAGGGGGGGGGGGGTTATTTTTCAATTTTTCTTCTTCTTGATATGTTTACCCAAAAGTTTTTTTCTACCACTTACATGATTTTTTCTCCAATTAAAATATAAAATTTCTTCCTTGGAATTATCCTCCCTAAGGGCCGGGGCCGCAATTCAGCAATTCATTTATTTTACCATTAAAAAAATTCACCCTATTTTTCAATATCACAGGGAAAACTTATTTAATGGTAAACAAATTTTTAAGAGGAGGCAGGGGACTTTTTAAGAAACTCCTAAAAAAATCGATCTTTGTTTTATTCTTCCATCTTGTTTAGGAGATTTCAACACTTTAAACCCTAAAGATTATACCAAAGATGAATGGAGTAACATTGTCAAACAAAGAATAGAAAATGGCCGACAACCTCCCTGTCATAGAGTTATACAGGTTAATATAAAATGATCGGGCATTTAAACAAACAAACAGATAAACAGAGATTACTTCTTTATATATAGGGTTTGAACACAGAACAGAGATTACTTCTTTATATATAGGGTTTGAACACAGAACAGAGATTACTTCTTTATCTATAGGGTTTGAACACAGAACAGAGATTACTTCTTTATATATTGGGTTTGAACACAGAAATGAGATTACTTCTTTATATATAGGGTTTGAACACAGAACAGAGATTACTTCTTTATCTATAGGGTTTGAACACAGAACAGAGATTACTTCTTTATCTATAGGGTTTGAACACAGAACAGAGATTACTTCTTTATATATAGTGTTTGAACACAGGACAGAGATTACTTCTTTATCTATAGGGTTTGAACACAGTGAAGTATTCTGAAGATTTATTAATAAAGTATATAAATCAGATAAGAGATGTTAGCTCCCCTGGCTGGATGATGCTGCCGGAGTATGGATTCCCGCGTTCTCAGATCCACCCGACTCTACTCAGTACTACGGAGATCTTCATTAGGTTCACACCTTGAGAGGGATCCTGTAGCGTACTACCAGACGATCCTTGATGCAACTCCATTCTACCCAAACTGTAACTCCACCCTCCAACCAAGCTCACTCCATCTTCATTCCATCAATCCCATCTCTCTCCTCTCCCCCGCCTACTTCGAGGAGCCGTATTTCTCGATGTCGGAGATATCTGAGGAACCTACAGCCCGAGACTCTGGTGCTCTTGCCGGTACCCTGCATGCTGGTGATCCTCCTCTGTTTGATGTTCCTGTTGTACGACATACTGATGGAGGAGATCCACAACGGTCTGTCTCTGAGCACGGGGGATGTGAATCCCCGTGTCCGGACCTGGACGAGGATGAACCATCCGTAGAGACGGATGAGACTAGCCTCAGCTCCGAGGATGAGTATGAACGGTTCTCCCGTCCTCTTCAGAGCGTGGAGTCTGCATGTGACCTGAGGAGGTCCCTGGACCTGGAACTGTTGCTTCTGAGGAACACTATAGCTCAGAAGGATAGACTCCGAGCTGATCTACTCCAGCATGTAAAGAGTGTCCTAGATGCTCTAGATGATGACCTCTATCTCCTGTATCAAGCCCGGTATTATCTGGACGATCTTATCAAGGGATTCTCGGAATCCCATCCAAGGGATCAGACATCTTCTTCAGCCTAGTAATATTAATGTGATTAGTAAAGTATTTACTCATGTGCTTAATAATAATAAGGTTAATAAAACTCTACTTACGATTATTTAATTAGAACTTATTTACGTCAAGAAGACAAAGTAAGGATTATCTTTGATTGTTCAGATCACAACATGTGGCGCAGTCGTTTATTATCAGATACAATAAGTTTTGTATATATCTAGTTTACATTATTGAACTCTGATTCACCTACGCTCAAGTAGCAAATACCATAAGTAGAACCTTATTTAAAAGCACAAATAAAATTTGTCAAAATATTTTATACTCTTAACATTAAAAATGTTGGGGGATGAATACCAAAAAGAAGAACGTTTTAAATGTTATGGCATAAAAAGCATAAAAGCAGCCAAAAAATTCTATATTTGAAGATAATTAATTCAAACTTAGATAACCTTTTAAATATTATGGCATAAAAAGCATAAAGGACCAAGATTTCTATATTTGAAGATAATTAATTCAAACTTAGAAAACCTTTTAAATATTACAACGCACAAAGCATAAAAACAGCTAACGTAGCAAATATTTATAAAAAATTCCGAAATAACCAAGAAAATTGATATTGCAGAAATAATGAAAATTGCTGAAAAATTAATAAAAAAAAAAAACAGTTTAAACTTAACGTATTTAACCAATTCTGCTTGATCTAAGGCATTATAAAATGACTCATTCCAAAACCCCATGTGCTGAATTGCATTATGAGAATACAAATTTAAGGAATGCATGAAAAGCCAAATTAACGAACATTCTCATGAATTTCGTGGAATCAACCCCCCCCCCCTTTTATATATGCTAGAAAGCAAACACTCGTCTTGATTCTCACACATTCCAATGCATAAACGCTACACATGTCGCGGCATACAAACTTTTGCAACACAATAAACTCGGCGGGAGGGATATATTTTACCGCGTCAAAATTATCGACACAACGAAACGTTTGAAAATGAACCAGTCGAGAGCAAACCCTTCAATAAGACAGTTCAATCAAACAAGGATGTCATTTAGAGGTAATAAATAATTCATATTAACCCCCCCCCCCCCCCTTTATATAAACCTATACTCTACTTATATATACATATATATATACATACTACTAATACTTAGATTTATCAATTACCTAAAGAGTTACTAGGAAGAGAACACTAAAGAGTTACTAGAAAGAGAACAGCTCCGTTTCTTTTCTCTAAATTATCTTATGTTTCAGTTTTCCGAACCCAGACCATCAGCCTACAATAAAGAATAATTTATTCTTTTTATTTTAATTTTAACTTTCCTGAACTATTAATATAAATTAAATCAATCAATAGTTCTAAAACAAAACAAATTGACTAAATATCTGGTCAATAAGTGCAAACCTAACCTTAAAATTGAAGATAACTAATTCAATTAAAGAAGGGTAGACAATTTAATCTATTCTATATTTGAAGATAATTAATTCAAATTTAGAAAAATTAGCCTTAATTCGAAGATAATTAATTCGAAGAAAAGAGCGAGTGAACTTAATCTAATTTCGATTTCGAAGATAATTAATTCGAATTGAAAATATGACAGACCCCAATGAACACGGGGCAGCAGGAGGTGAGAACCCGGGGGGATTGCCCCCCCGGACCACCTCGAGGAATGTGGTTGTTACAACCCTAACCTCTACTAATACTCAGAGTAGGATAACCGCGAATACACGCCCTACTCAATCTGACGTTTTGACCACGCGCATTACCGAAGCGGTAGCACAACACTATGCAGCAGGGAATGGTCATCCCAATTATAGAGTTAGCGCAGGGGAGGACAGGCGTCCTATATTAGGGGCCACTACGCCCCCCCCTTCCCAACTTGGGTTTGACAGGGTTATAAACCCCGATCCAATTGATTTAGCTTCAAAAGAAGGGAAATATAGTATCCTGGATGAAGCTGCTAATGGCTCAACTTACTCTCCTAGCAATGAAGAAATTTGCTTCATGAAGAACCATTGGAATTACGACGGTAAAGAGAATTTTGAAGACTATATTTTAAAGATAGGAGGCTTTGCAAGAACACTAAAAGTTAGTGATATTTGTTTTAAGAACACTTTGTACCAATCTTTCCGAGCTCCATGCTCATACATGGTATCCGATATGGAACCCAGCCTTCAACCCTATCTTACAATGAGCAAGCGCGATTATGTTAAAGCAGTACATGAAAGGTTAGAACCTGCATCTGCAGCAGACTTGATATACACGCAGTACAAGGAAAGGTCTCAGAAAGCTTCTGAGATCTACGACTTGTATCTGCGTGACAAGTTCAACTTGTTTGTCCGATCATTCCCTGACGGAAAAACGCGCATATTCAAAGACTTTATAGAAGAAAGCATTAGAGGCTTGCAAAATGAATTGCTTAGGACTAAAATCCGCGATTTTATATCCATACAACATTTGAATGGAAACCGCATAGAAAGCTTCGACGCACTTCGAAGAATTGTGCAAATATCAGTGGAAAATATCCAAAGCAAAGCGATTGCAGGCGAATTAGACGCCTCCGACGTATCTGGAACTGACATCCGCATGATGTCTTACTCTTATGTAAATGGCAAAGAGAAATCGCGTTTCGAAGTAAACGCCATAAATGAAGATGGAAATGAAGAAGTTGATGAAATCAATGAATTCAGAAAATTCCAAAAATTCCAAAAATACAATAATTTCAAAAGAAATGGAAACAAAACTTTTACTCCGAGGCAGGCAACGGAAAAAGATATTTGTTATAATTGCGACAGCCCCGGACATTTCAGCAGAAATTGTCCTAGAAATATGTTACCTGGCAAAGTTAACAAGGTCGACGCAGTAGACCCAAAGATTGATGATCTATCAACGGACACCTCAGATGAGGAAGATGATCCTGAAATAGATTATATTAATCGGCGTAGTTATCAGGGCAAACCAAGGAATGGAAAATTCCAAAAACGCAGACCTCAGCGTCGCATCCATGAAATTGTTGAAGAACAAGGAAACCAAATTGCATCCTTGACTTCACAATTCTCCGAATTGATCGCAGTTATGAAAGATCAAAACGCAAGCAAAATAAACACATTTGTGGAAATGGAAACAAATATTCCCAGGGAACTAGCCAGCCTGGATAACGAACCCGAGGATAATATTTATAATTTTTTATAAATGCTTCGGAATCTCCAAACAATCATGGAATTAAAAGTTGTCATTTACCACTAGGTTATGTACGCTCCATGATCCCCGGATCCACAAGCTTTATAAAAGCACTTGTGGACTCAGGGAATTTGTTTGGAGATATTATCAGTGGAAGACTTGCCAAAGCGCTTAAAATCCCTTTTAAACCATGCGCAAAGAAAGCAGGTACAGCAGTATCTGGACAAAATGTGCATGTACTAGGTCAAGCCGACCCATTTTCTCTAATTCTAGAAGGATTAAAGGATCCAGTTCTAATAAAACCAATCGTGATAGATAATTTATCTCACGACATAAATTTAGGAGAACATTTCTTGAGATGCAATAGCGCTAAGCTCGATTTCGAGGGCAAGAAAGTTACGCTTGAAATTAAGGGTGAAAAAGTAGAATTAGTAAACAAAAATGTTTCATTAATTAGAAATTCCACTGATAAGAGGTTTGAATCTGTAATGAGAAAAGATAAAGAGAAAAGAAACGAATTACAGAACCAGCATAAAGTAAAATATGTAGAAATTACAGATAGCGGATTTTCTGTACAAACTAAAAAGAAAGTAAAAATCCCAGCAAACTCTGTATATCATGTAAAAGTAAAAACTAAACTTAACTCAAACACTGGTTATTTTAAAAACAAAGAAACATCTGCATTCTTAAACAACAATAATTTGTTACCCATGCAAGGAATATTTAATATAAATAATAACGAATGTATCATCCCTATATTAAACATGGGGGATAAAATGCTTACCGTCCCGTCTCGTGTCCGATTAGGAAAAATATACCCCGGACACAGCAAGGAACAAATTAGAACAGAGATTAACTCTATAGATCACCGTCCTGAAAAAGAATTATCAGTTAAAGAAATAGAAGAGAGAAGAGAATTTTTAAGGAAACAACTCTCAGTTAAAGACATGGTTGTCAATAAAGAAGGACAAGAGAAGGTAATTGACATATTTATGCGTCATTTTGATGCAGTCTCAGTAGGTCCAGAAGACTTTGGTAAATCAGATGAATTACAATTTCACATAACACTTAAGCCTGGAACCCAGCCAGTTAGGGCAAAATGTAGACCTTTAAACCCCTTTCAAGAAAAAGACTTAGAGCAACAACTCAAAGAATGGCTATCAGCAGGAATTATTGAACCAAGCGTGTCCCAATGGGCTAGTGCCCTTGTCCCTTGTAAGAAGAAAAACTCTACCAAGCTACGATGGGCTTGTGACTACAGATTTTTAAATAAAGCCACACAAAAGGACGTTTTTCCGCTTCCTAATATAGAGTCGAATTTACATAAACTCTCTGGAGCAAATATTTTCTCTAGTTTAGATAGTGCAGGTGCATTTCATTCACTTGTTATAAGCCCCGAATCTAGAGATTATACAACCTTTATTAGCCCCTTTGGGACATACCGCTATAAGCGCATGGCCTTTGGCCTCTCTAATTCACCCTCTGTTTATTGTAGGCTAGTACAACAAGCTCTAAACCGATTACCCCCCGGATATGCGATAGCATATCTGGATGATATACTTGTGTTCAGTAATAATATTGAGGAACACATGGTCCATTTAGAAAGTGTGCTCCAAGTACACGCCATTGTAGGCATGAAAGTAAATTTAGCTAAATGTCATCTTTTTAGGGCCAAAGTTGATTATCTTGGCCACCAGGTGTCCAATCAAGGAGTAGAAATGGTTGACTCTTATGTTGAAAAAATCCGGAACTGGCCAACCCCTGAAACAGGAAAAGCATTAATTTCATTCTTAGGATTCTGTTCATATTACAGAGGATTTATTCCCGAATATGCAAAAACTGTGGCCTGTCTCAATAAATATAGAAATGAGAAGGAAATTAAGTTGACAGAAGAAGAGAAAGGAAAGATAGATGAATTAAAACAATTATTTTTAAAGAAACCTATTAGGGCATACCCCCAATATAATTCAGAAAACCCATTTATATTAGATACAGACTTTTCTGGTGTTGCAGCAGGGGGTAGATTAGTGCAAGTACAGGATAAGAATGAACGCCTAATTGCGTGTTTCTCCAAATCCCTTGATTCTGCACAAAGTAAATATCCTGCCCACAAAGGCGAATTATTGGCTGTCATATTAGGATTAAGAAAATTTGAACACATATTAAGGGCAAAGAAGTTCATAATCAGGACAGATTCTTCAGCTATTACGTTCATACAAGGTTTAAAAGAAGCCCGAGGAATCTGGGCAAGATGGTTAGTTTATCTTTCTAGCTTTGAGTTTGAGATTATACACAGGCCAGGCAAACAAAACTTGGCGGCCGACGCCCTGTCTAGGACAATTATAGCCAGTGACAGAGAAGATCAAGAACATGAAGATAATTATTTAGTATATCCTGAAATTGATGATGTATATACAATAAATCCAGAAATAAACTCACAAGAAAAGCTAATAAACAAACCAGATTTAAGTGAGATAGTAAGATATAGGACTAGAGAAGAATGGAAGTTAGAAACTTGTAAAGACTATCCCTTACAAAAGGTAGTAGATTATGTTAAAGAAGGAAAACCCCCTTCATGGGAAGAGAGAAAAAACCTTCCCCCAGGGACAAATGTATATTTAAAATATTTCCCATACCTTTATGTACAAGATGAGTTACTGTACATACGTAGACCAAAAGATAGCAAAGAATTAGAAGTATCCCGAGTATGTATACCCCGTGGACTCCAACAGGGTGCACTAGAACTTGCACATCTCGGGCACCGAGGTATTACTGAAACAAAAGAAAAATTATGTCAAAGGGCATTTTTTCCAAATATGATAGAACAGGTTAGATTATTGGTAAATAACTGCCCTTCATGTATTCAAAAGTTTAATACAACGCCAAATACTCAACATGTACAAGCTCATAAAGAATTATTAAGTTACCCAATGCAAAGAGTATATCTAGACACAGTGGGCCCTCTAACCCCCAGTAAATTTAAAGGAAAAATCTGTAAACATATACTCACAGTACAGGATGGGTTTACTAGATATTTAACTGGCATACCCATCCCAGACCTAGAGGCGAATACTATACTCACCGCCCTAGATGACGGTTTTTTATCTATACATGGAATGCCAGAAACCATACATACAGATCAAGGGAGCAGTCTAATGAGTAACTTATTCCAAAATTCATGTACTCAAATGGGAATAAAACTCACCCAAACCCCAACCTACTCACCCCAAGGGAATAGAGTTGAAAGATCACATCGTACTTTAGGGCAGTTACTCAGGGCAGATGACTCATCCACCCCCGGTTCTTGGACTGATAAGTTAATATCAGCTATATTTGAAATAAATATTGCTAGGAATAGAATCACCGGGGTGAGTCCCTACTTTGCCCTGTACGGTAGGAATGTACGAATTCCTTTAGATGTATATTTTCCCGAAGATAACGTAAGACAGATTAACCCATGGACTAATTATATAAAAGGTTTATCAATAAAAATGGAAAAAATACACTCTAGGATGGTTCAACAAGAGAGATTGAGTATTCCTATCTCTAACCAAGTTAAGGCACCAAGGAGTAGGAACCCCATAATTACAGGAGATATAGTCTATTATTTTTCACCCAAAGGGATATTAAATTTGTCTAAGAAATTAACCCTGAGATGGACTGGACCATACAGAGTATTACAAAAACCAACCGAGTCCATGTGTATCATTTACCCCATAGGCAACTGGGCTACAAACCCCAGAGAAATTACAACCTTGATCACAAAATTAAGAAAAATAAATCCCGAATTTTCTCCAGTGACACAAGAACAAGTAAATTTAAATCTTTTACCTGAAGAAGACTTAGAAGAAGAAGAAGTCTTATTCCCTGAACAGGTCGTTGAACCAATTAACCAAGAGGGAACAATAACACCTAGATATTCAGATATTAGTGAGGATAGTGACGATGATATAGTAATACCTTTCCCAGCAGGGAGGGGAAACGAAAACATGGCACCCCCCCCTGAAGATACAATAGATAGGGATGAAACGGAAACCCTTGTTAAAATGGAACCCCTGTCACCCCAACACACTGTAGAATTAACAGACGAGCGGAGAGATGAAAATGTAGAAATAAATACCCCTATTCAAAGAATAACTAGAACCAAGAAACCACCCCCCCCTCCCCGGAATATAAAAGAGAAACAACGTGAAGCTTTTATGGTGGCCCAAGAAAAGTTATCACAAACATTAAAGAGAAAGAAATAAAACCTAAGATATATGTAAAATCTCAATTATCTGTATTATATAATGTATGTAATTGTATTATATAGATAAAACATAGACTTATAATAATATGAGTCAAAACCCCCCCCCCCCTTTTTCTTTATCTATTTCCTCTAAAAAAACTTGAAAATAAAAGAAAATAAAAAAATAAGAAATAAGAATAAAATTTTATGAATTTTCTAAATATTGTGTTTTCTAGGATTACCTAGAGGCCGAGGCGGAGATAGAGGACGCCAAATGGGCCGAGGATCCAATTACGGGCCTTACTCCGGAAACCAAGGAACTAAGAGGCCCCATTCTCTAGAGAATGCAGTGGAGAAACGGACCCAAAGGGAGTTCAGCATAAGTCATCTGGTCCCCCAGGAGCTCCGAGCAGAATGAGAACGGGCTCCAGAACACAGGAACCCAGAGGATAAGAGAAGAAAGCTTGAAATCCAAACGGAAACCAACTTAACCATTGGTAATGTTAGAACCCAACTCGGGCCCATTGTTGAAGCGTTGGAGAGTGCAGTGCAGTTGTTAATAGCACCACTCAACTCCATGACGGTAGCAAATCTATCTGACCACTGGAAGGGAGTAGGATCCGGTCACAACCTGGTCAAAGCAGCAGGATTATTCAACATCGCTCTGGATATCTTGCAGTATTTCCGAAACTACGGAAACCCAGATAAAACCGCTGACTCTCTTCTGGGTATAATCACAGCTGAACTGGAGGTTGATGTAAAAGGTCCTCTGAATAATATCATGACCAGTGATTATTTGGAACTTTCAGACGAAGAGATCTTGAAGAATCTGAAGGATATCGAGAGAGTCCATATGGTGAGGCTCACCCATGCTTGCCAAGCACTTGAGAGCCTCGAGGCCATGGCGCCCGTTATGGCTACGGTCGTACGCGCTGGACTTCCTTCCACAGGACTGAATTCTGAAACAAAACAATTACAGGTACAGTTTCAAATAAAGAAATAAACAAAAATTGTATATTTTATATAACAATTACCAAAAAGTAGTAAAGAATATAGATACATTAAATAAAAAAACTTTAGACAAGAAATTATCTTTTAAAAAAAAAGAAAAAATAAATAAAAGAAAATATAAAGTTTCCTAACAAAATATTTATAAATTTTTTGTTTTAGTGTTTTGAGATCTTCCAAGAAGCAGCCAGCAAAAGCTGGAACACTATTTTTAAGAAAGCTCAACTAGTTTACTCAATGGGGAAAGTCAAGATAACCCCAACACAAAGGTTGAGTTTTGTTGGGAAGAGATTTGGAATACCAGCAGACGGATCCTGGAGATCAGTATTCCTGGTCGATCCGATCTTCCCCGCCACCCGAACGACAGGAAACTATCCTTCACCGTTGCTGTTGCGTTATCTATTACAGCAGCCTCTAACTTACGCTGAAGGACATAATCTGACCAATCCGATACTCCAGAAACAAGTTACAATGTTAACGGAACTAAAAGAGGATATCAAGAAAACTGAAACCTCTATAACCTCAACCATGAAAAACCTGATGGAGAAGCGGACAATAACGAACGAAGATAAATCGACAGTAGAAAGTAACGATAAAAGGAAGAAAGAAGGATCCATGATCAACACAATGGAACAAATGTCCAAGAAAATAGACAAACTCTCGGCAAATCTGTCGAAACCTCAAGAAATCAAGAAAGAAGCGAAAAAGAATACCGAACAGGAAAAAGAAAAGGAGAAAGAGGAAAAGATTAACTCTCAGAACACTCTAACCATCGTCAACAACGTTATTGGATTAAACAAGAAAATCAATGAAATTGTAGAAATTGTGAAAAGTCAAAAAGATGATACAGAAGATTTGAGGCATAACATGCTCGTCGGAAATAAAATCAAAACAGCCACAGCACAAGAAATGACGACAATCCATGAGAAGCTCAGAAACGTTGAAGAAGGTATAACTGACTATACACGAGACGAGCTCGACAAAGTGCAGAACACACTAGTCAACATCACAAGAGTCGTGGAAAAAGTACTCCAAGGGGTAGAGGATAACCGGAAAACCATCAAAGAACAGGCTGTGAAACAGGAAGAATTTAACCAAAACCTGATGAAAACAATCATGACACTTGTGAGGACAGTAAACCTCAATACAACCCAACCTGAATCCAATTGGGCCGAAGAAGTAGAGAATGCTACACCCCCACCAGTTTCTTATAATAAACCACCTCGAGGCATGGAATCATATGTTCCGGACGAAAACATGTTCATACCAAATTATGAACTGGAAAACGAGGCCGAACCACAGGAGTACGGATACGATCCAGAACACCCTCATTATGACGGAGAAACCCCGGCCGGAGAAGATCAAACTACTTACTAGAAGAGTAGTCAAATATATTTTTTTTATTTTGTATACAAAAAATTAATAAACCCAAATAAATAATTTTTTAAAAAAAAATATTGTGTTATTTCTTATCGATAGAGTTATAATCTAAAACGAATAAATTTTAAAGTATAACAAAGAAACAATATGGCGGAAATAAGAAAAATTTCGTAATTTCATAATGGTAGAATATATAAACATGGGCCGATTTAAATAATATCATGCTTTAAATGAATTTTTAACCAATAAAGATGTTAATATAACCTTAGTCATAAAGAATGTTATAAAGAATTTAATCAGTAAGCACTTTTTACCTATTTAATATCAGAATCCGAAACAATTATCTAGTATTTGGAGAATCTCGGCCGACAAATCTAACTAGACTGATTCCCGGATAGTGGTTGATATAGTATCCGACCTATCACAACACAAACAAGTGTCAGTGCAATGTCTAGGGATATTCAAAAGCAGAATTCTGACTAAATTAGGGCTGTCCAAAAATAAAAAGATATCCAGCCCGAAAATGAAATTTTATTTAAAATACACTTTGGCATTTACATTTAACTTGGCTATAATAAACGCACAGACAACAAAGAATGCTGCATTCCAATTTATGGCGTTTGATTGTAGGAAACCAATTAGCCTAAATTCATATAAAAAATCAGAGTGGTGTTCACCAAAAATAGAGAATAATGTAAACAAGATGGGGGATAGAAACGAGGAAACGATTATCCTGGTACAAAACTTAGATTTCCAGAAAATAAAGGCAACAAGATGTGAAAAACTTACATCTAAGTTTAGCCTTTACTGTGGTGCATACTCACATATGAAATTCCTGAGCCCTCCCACAATATTAGAACCAGAAGAAATGTCACCGGAAGAATGTTCTGATATGTACCGCCGCAGAGCTTTCATTTTTAAAGGGAAAACATATAGGATAGGAGTTAACCAACAAATACAGATACCTATGATTAGACATGGGCATTTATATGCAACAGAAAATAATGTCCAATGCGACGGTGCAAAATTTGTAATTGACGGTGAGGAACACTCTAATATGTTAGAATTACTAAGTGTACAAATTACCATGAGAGAAACCACTATTCAAATCTCTAAGAGCGGAATAATGGATACCCAAAATAATATCGAACTAGAGAAAAAATGCCTGGAGTCCTTAAGATGCAAAGTAGGGATGTCCACATATATACTTCTAGAAAAACCCAAAGAATGCCAACTAGTTCAAATTCGAACAATATTAGTTAACAGTACATGGCTGGTACATAACGGTCAATCCACAGAGTATATGATAAACGACCAACACAAAATTTTGATTAGAACTATAAACAAAGAAGAAGACAAGGAATGCGGAATAATGTTGTATTCCTCCAACTACCCCAGATTGAAACTAATCAAACCCATAGAGAACCAGCCAGAATTAATAGATAAATTAGTCCTACACCCGGAAGGAGTAGACATAGACTTGGAAATCAGAATATCAGAAGAATATATCAACTACCGGATTGAACACCTGTTACAATCGCAAAGTACAAAGATCCAACAACATCTATGTGCACTAGGGACAGAAAATATCATACACATGGAACGTAGCCCAATACACCCGGACGCCCTGATTAGAATCAGAGGCGACATTATCCAGGAACTAAAGTGTAAAGAGGTTTTAGTAACAGCTACCACAGGTTACCAAAGAAACCAAGAATGTCACCGAGACCACCTCCCTGTCTACCTGGGTGAAGAACCTGTATATATAGACACAGCTAGGCTAATTACCACAAATCCTATAATGGATCAAATAGATTGCGCAGAATTGTTTCCACCCGTTTTTCAATCAACAACAGGACAATTGGTCCAGGCCACTCCAAAAATACAGCTAGTACAGATTCAACTGTCTAAACCAGAGCAACTTGGTTATCACGTAGACTCACTAGATCACGTTGAAGAAACAGACAGTCTCCTGTATACCAGAAAGGAAATCAGAGCATATAATGAATTATTTCTAGCCCAAAGGAGTATGAGAGCCTTAAGTTATTCAATGACCTCACAATACTGTTCTTCTTCGGGAGCATGTGGATCATACAGACCAACTGGACCAGGAATATTCGACATAGACAATCTTACTCAGAATGCCTTGAAAATATTTAATTGGAAAGAACAAATAATGGCTGCCTTAACCACATATGAAAACTATGCAAGTATCATCGTACTTATATACCTAACGTGGAAACTGATACTTACCATAATAGGAACTATCAGAACTAGGAGGAAAGGCGTGACATGGAAGACCGCAATCAGGCTAAATACTCTCCTCTTGACGGAGTTCAGGAATCACCTAATACAGGACATTCCACTAAGACATCCTGAACATACTGTAAATACAGATGAACAAGATAGTACGGAACTAGTGCCTTCGGTAACTCTATAAAAATGACGAGACTGAATTAGATGTCTGATGGGGGATAATGAAGTATTCTGAAGATTTATTAATAAAGTATATAAATCAGATAAGAGATGTTAGCTCCCCTGGCTGGATGATGCTGCCGGAGTATGGATTCCCGCGTTCTCAGATCCACCCGACTCTACTCAGTACTACGGAGATCTTCATTAGGTTCACACCTTGAGAGGGATCCTGTAGCGTACTACCAGACGATCCTTGATGCAACTCCATTCTACCCAAACTGTAACTCCACCCTCCAACCAAGCTCACTCCATCTTCATTCCATCAATCCCATCTCTCTCCTCTCCCCCGCCTACTTCGAGGAGCCGTATTTCTCGATGTCGGAGATATCTGAGGAACCTACAGCCCGAGACTCTGGTGCTCTTGCCGGTACCCTGCATGCTGGTGATCCTCCTCTGTTTGATGTTCCTGTTGTACGACATACTGATGGAGGAGATCCACAACGGTCTGTCTCTGAGCACGGGGGATGTGAATCCCCGTGTCCGGACCTGGACGAGGATGAACCATCCGTAGAGACGGATGAGACTAGCCTCAGCTCCGAGGATGAGTATGAACGGTTCTCCCGTCCTCTTCAGAGCGTGGAGTCTGCATGTGACCTGAGGAGGTCCCTGGACCTGGAACTGTTGCTTCTGAGGAACACTATAGCTCAGAAGGATAGACTCTGAGCTGATCTACTCCAGCATGTAAAGAGTGTCCTAGATGCTCTAGATGATGACCTCTATCTCCTGTATCAAGCCCGGTATTATCTGGACGATCTTATCAAGGGATTCTCGGAATCCCATCCAAGGGATCAGACATCTTCTTCAGCCTAGTAATATTAATGTGATTAGTAAAGTATTTACTCATGTGCTTAATAATAATAAGGTTAATAAAACTCTACTTACGATTATTTAATTAGAACTTATTTACGTCAAGAAGACAAAGTAAGGATTATCTTTGATTGTTCAGATCACAACAACAGAACAGAGATTACTTCTTTATATATTGGGTTTGAACACAGAAATGAGATTACTTCTTTATAAATAGGGTTTGAACACAGAACAGAAATTACTTCTTTATATATAGGGTTTGAACACAGAACAGAGAATAGGATAGAGGGGAAATAAGATTATCCTTCGTAATGAATTTGTTCAGTCTCTTTATGCCTGAAATTAGAATTCAATATAAATGTTCACAAATCACATGCAGTACATCACACTAATACAGTATGATCCCTGGACATATCCGTTACAATTTCTTATTTTTATAAAGTTTGTGCTGAAATGAAGTAAAGTAAAGCTTATGCTGAAATGAACTCGGGAATGCATGACAAGTTGTCAAAGAATTGATTTAAAGAAATAAGAAAAGTTTTTCTATAAAAAGATGCTCCAGGGCCCAAAATGTTATATAGCACAAATGTGTTAAGTACACCAGCAGTATGGAAACAGTACAAAAAAATGGCGGTTTTACACTTTAATTATGACTTAATTTCTCTCTATACTTATCTATTCTCTGGGTTGAAGGGTTGGTTAGTGGTTAAATACTTCTTAATCTTTAGCTAGGGAAAAAGAGAAGAAAGGAAACACACAGTAAAACATTTCATCTAAAGGAATTAAACTTGTTTGATTTTTAAAATAAGAATAAACTTTATTGTATTTTCAAACTACTCAGAAGATGTTTTTGTGAAAACTGCAACTCACATGGGCAACATGGCGGCCCTCAGATTTTGTGTGTTTCTAGGATTTAGAAAGATTAAAGTTTACCGACTGCTGGACCAGCTTTGGTTCCCCGGAACCAAGAGGAACCAGTAAATTCGATACAAGGTACATTGAGGGAAAGTTTTGAGAGAACATTTAATTTAATACTAGCTAAAGTCCTGGCGTTGCCCGTGCAATTTTTTTTAATCGAATTTTGAGAGAAAAACTTTGATTTTGCAAGAAGAAAAAATTGTTTTTAAAGAAAAAAAATTAATATTTAGCCTATGTTTCCCCACGGGTACCCACGGGTTTCCTCAAAAAATTATTGATAATAGTGATAATAAAGTGCTTATCTTACAGTGTAATAAGTGCAATTTTGTGTTCTTTAATTTCTGTTTTTACTCTTTTTTATTTAATCTTGAAAAACATGTCAACTAATGGGAGCAAATGTTGTTTTCCTTGTTCTTTTTATACTTGTGACGTCATGTATAATTGGTCCATTTCTCTGTTGCCACCTATTGTACTTGATAATCTATTTGATAGATCTGGTTTTTATTGTGTCGAGAAAACGTTTGATTCCTTTTAGAATAAAATTTTAAAGTTAATATTTTAATTTTTTAAATCATTTTAAAGAAGAAAACCTAAAAAAAGTACTTTGATAGATGGGAGTCCTAATTATTCTCAAAGTTATATTAAATATAAAAAAGTTGGCAATCTCATCAAATACAACTAAAAATGTATGAAATTATTGAATAAATATTTCTCAAAATTAAGATTAACAATTTAAAAGTTTCAACCTTCATGATGGTTTATGAAAATATTGAAGAACCCTATTTTCAGGGTTGATTATGTATTCGGATCCGAGGAGTTCTTCAAGGGATGGAGACTAGAGAAATTTATACATTATCCGAGTAATGCTTCAGATCATCACTTTGTCCTGGCGGAATTCGCATCCTTGTCAGAAACTAAATAATTTAATATTATCCTTAAATTTTAAAACATTTAGCAAATATCAAAATTTACATATTTTATGCTTTTATCACTTTAAACAGGAAACAAGAAGGAAATAGAAATGGCGCTGCACTGGTCTGGCTTGAGAAAGCCAGTCTCACTGCTTTTTGATTTTTTTTTAATATTTCGCTGGCGCTGGATTTTCGAACATTTCTGGAAAATATGAAAATGTCGTCTGCATTATTAAAATCCTCGAAACTGGAATAAATGTTTTCAAAAGTAACTCTCAGATCATGAAAAATTAAAAATATTATTAAATATCAACTATATACGAATGCGTCGAAAAATGATCGATGACAATTGTTTGTAATTAAATTTATTTTTCTTACGACACGAGTTGAATGAGTTGAATGTTGCAACTTTCTGAATTTGTGGGGACGCTACGATCTTCGGTAGTAGTCGTTTTTGACAATTTTCTCCTTATAGACGCAACAGATAGAAGTAAGATCAGTAGCAGTCAAAAGCGCTTATTTTTCGCCGTAGATCTCGTCTGTTCAAGATTTAGGGGTTTTACGTTCACAAAGACCCTGAGGCAGAAGCACATAGGAATTCCGGGCAAGCAGCGCATGCTTTGTCTTTTTTGCGCGGAACTCCTTTGGGCTTTCGTCTTAGGGTTCAAAAACTCCCACTTTCTTGAAAAGACGACATCTAGTGTTTTATCTGTTATTGTTAGTTAAGCTATGGTAATATTGTTTAAATAATAATTCCAGTACTATCAGACATTGCCATGTTGCCATAAACACTATTCAGGGTTACCAATACCATCAAAGAATCATTATTATTTTAAGTTGAAACTGATTTTAAAATTTAAATATATTACTCTTGCATGACGCATCTGGATTTGTTAAAATCGTAATTTTGCACAAGATAGAAAAACCTACAATGCCTTCTATATTTTACTCACTGAAAAAGAAATGGTCTTGTTTGCTCAAGTTTATTTATCCCTTCCAGTGGATATTAAAAAATATATTTTTGAATTTATGCTCAAATTGTAGCAAATTTTAACTGACTAATTATGATATATGTTTTATGTTATATGTATATATCTAATTTATTGTGTAAAATATATTATTCTTTGATCTTTCAGATATCTTTTCAATTCTAGTAGCAAATAAATAAATACAGAATATAGATAGTTAACAAATACCAAAGAAAAGTTATTTCATAAGTGTACACATCTTTTGTACTGCAGTGTACTGTCTCTGGGCGGTAATGTAACACAAGACGGATGTCGAAGCCTGACATTAGATCCATCTTTCACATAAAAAAAAACAATGAAATATTCTGGTCATAGGAAACTATTATGTGAATTATCAAAATTATCAAAATTTAATGCTTTTAACCCTCTCGGATACTAAACGAACACTGGTGCTTCTATTCTTGTTTACAAATTCCGCCCAGAGAGAACTGGTTTCAATAAGTACGCAGAGTATACACGACCGCAATTAACTTTCCTTGACAAATACAGAATATAGATACATCAAAGTCCCCCTCTCGGCTTCTCTTCAATTGAATTATCAAACAAATCAATTATAAACGAAGTAATTAGTACAATGCACATTGAAGATGATGATGATAATCTCCTGCATTCATTATCAGACAAAGCTTTTAATAGTACCCTTGTGAATCAGACAAGGCTTTTAATAGTACCTTTGTGAATCAGACAAAGCCTTTAATAGTACCCTTGTGAATCAGACAAAGCTTTTAACAGTACCCTTGTGAATCAGACAAAGCTTTTAATAGTACCCTTGTTAATCAGACAAAGCTTTTAATAGTACAATTGTGATTCAGGCAAAGCTTTTAATAGTACCATTGTTAATCAGACAAAGCTTTTAATGGTACCATTGTGAATCAGACAAAGCTTTTAACAGTACCCTTGTTAATCCGACAAAGCTTTTAATAGTACCCTTGTGAATCAGACAAAGCCTTGAATAGTACCCTTGTGAATCAGACAAAGCTTTTAATAGTACCATTGTGAATCAGACAAAGCTTTTAATAGTACCCTTATGATTCAGACAAAGCTTTTAATAGTACCCTTGTTAATCAGACAAAGCTTTTAATAGTACCATTGTGAATCAGACAAAGCTTTTAAAAGCACCATTGTGAATCAGACAAAGCTTTTAATAGTACCCTTGTTAATCAGACAAAGCTTTTAATAGTACCATTGTGAATCAGACAAAGCTTTTAAAAGCACCATTGTGAATCAGACAAAGCTTTTAATAGTACCATTGTGAATCAGACAAAGCTTTTAATAGTACCCTTGTTAATCAGACAAAGCTTTTAATAGTAACATTGTGAATCAGACAAAGCTTTTAATAGTACCGTTGTGAATCAGAATTGCCACATTATTATTATTATTGATATTACGTTTACGGTTCCTTTGAATAACAAAAAAGTTGTGGTTTATAGAATTAGTAAAAATAAGAGCCTGTCCTAAAACCACAGAGTAAAAGACTGTCCTAAAACCCCAGAGTAAAAGACTGTCCTAAAAGACCAGAGTAAAAGACTGTCCTAAAACCCCAGAGTAAAAGTGTCCTAAAACCCCAGAGTAAAAGCCTGCCCTAAAACCCCAGAGTAAAAGATTGTCCTAAAACCCCAGAGAGTAAAAGATTGTCCTAAAACCCCAGATTAAAAGCCTGTCCTAAAACCCCACGAGTAAAAGACTGTCCTAAAGCGCCAGAGTAAAAGCCTACCCTAAAACCCCAGAGTAAAAGACTGTCCTAAAACCCCAGAGAGTAAAAGACTGTCCTAAAACCCCAGAGAGTAAAAGACTGTCCTAAAACTCCAGAGTAAAAGACTGACCTAAAACCCCAGAGTAAAAGACTGTCCTAAAACCCCAGAGCAAAGGACTGTCCTAAAACCCCAGAGTAAAGGGCTGTCCTAAAACCCCAGAGTAAAAGGCTGTCCTAAAACCTTAGTGTAAAAGATTGTCCTAAAACCCCAGAGTAAAAGCCTGTCCTAAAACCCCAGAGTAAAAGACTGTCCTAAACCCCTAGAGTAAAGGGCTGTCCTAAAACCTCAGAGTAAAAGACTGCCCTAAAACCCCAGAGTAAAAGACTGTCCCAAAACCCCAAAGTAAAAGATTGTCCTAAAACCCCAGAGTAAGAGACTGTCCTAAAACCCCGGAGAAAAAGACTGTCCTAAAACCCCAGAGTAAAAGACTGTCCTAAAACCCCAGATTAAAAGACTGACCTAAAACCAC